CCCTGCCAGGGGTCAGGGGCCGCCTTTTGTCTCTTAAAAAGGCCAGGCCCATGGCAGGATGGGGTGGGAGAGAGGGCGGCAGCTCGCCCCCCCAGCCCGCCCCCGGCTCTGGCTCGGCGTCCGCATGCCCTTACTTGGTGAGGGAGCTGAGAGAGGCCAGCTGAGCATCCCGAAAGGGGCCAGGGACCTGGGGAGGGCCTGCCGACGTGAGGGTGAGGGGCTGTTTCTGGCCGTGGTGACCTTGCTGGTCCAGTTTCCGAGGGGCAGGGGGAGGCGGGGTCACAGAAGGAAGTCTTGCATCGTCTCCGAAGCACATGGCAGGGTCCGGGCTCCCCAGAGCCCAGCCGGCGGGGAGCCAGAGTGCTTCCTCCACGGAGGGCACCGAGCTCAGGCTCCAGGCTCACCCCGCACTGTGGGGCCCTGCTCTTGCAGTGGGTCTGGTCCTGCCGGGGCCCCAGCTGTCCCCACCTTGTACCACCCCCTCAACCTCTCAACCCCCCAACCCCCTGCCTGTGTCTGTCCTGTCCTTACTCACACTGCCTCTTCCGCCACCCGCTACCTAGACAGCCTCCAGTGCTCCCCTGCCCCTCGGGCCCCCGCCTGGCCCACAGCGGGGGCTGACCGGGGCAGGGGAGGCATCTGGCGGCAGAAGCAGCTCCCCACCTTGCACCCCAGAGAGCAGCACCTCCTCCTGTCCACTCAGCCAGGGCTCCCATTGGCCTGGCGGGGACCAGCCTCATGGCAGGCCGCCTCCCGCCCAGTCTAGGCCACCTGGCCTCGGGTGTCACCCTCCTCCTTTCCCCCAGTCTGGCCCAGGTGTCACCTAAAGCCGCGGCTGTGGGTGGTGGCAGGGGGGCTCAGTGAGCACCTTCCGCCGTGGCCAGCACTGAGGCTGATGGCCTCTCGGGGCCAGCGTCTGCGGCACAGCGGGTGCTCGGCCAGTGTTCATGGTGAAGGGGCTGTGGCGGGTGCGGCACTCCCAGCAGGCAGGCTGCAGAGAGCCTTCCCCTCTGAGGCCGCCCCGCCGGACGCAGCAGCCCACCGGGGAAAACGAGGCTCCCTCCCTTGTGTCCTGGGGCTCCAGAGCAGGCTGAAGACAGGTGGCTCCCCGGAGAGCCCCTGGCATATGACAGAGGGACCACAGAGAACGCAGACCTGGAAGTAGCCGGTGGCTGCCCAGGAGGGTAGCAGGAGGCCCGAGGAGAGGAAGGCAGGACCCTACCCGGGGACCCCATCTGAGTGTCAGGGCTCCCAGTCCAGCGCTAAGGCGGGTGTGAGATCCCGTCCAGGTTCCCTCCCACCTGTGTCTGGTCCCCAAGCATTTTCTAAACCAACCGGTGGTCCAAGAGGTCCGAAAGGCTGGCGACCGCTGTCCTCAACCATTGCCTCACGAGTAGCACTTCCATGTGGGCATTAAAAGTCCAGGCAAATGTTTAATGCTCACAAGCTGTGCTCCGCTACGGAGCTGTGCCCGAGAGCCAGGCAGGCAGCTCGGCCAGGCTGGGCTCGGCGGAGAAGTGATGACGCAGCAGCCCTGCGGGGCAGCCATCTGCCAGCCCCACCGGGCGGGCGGGCGGGCGGGCGGGCGGCCCCCGGTGCCCGCTCATAACAGGCACCAAGGAGGCAGAGCGGTGAGCAGGGGCTCACTCACGCCCTGGAAGTCGGTTCTTCCGGGTGGAATCCGCCCTTCCTGCTCCCTGGTCGGCGGTGTGGCTGGAGCCGGGGCCTCTGTGGAGGAGGGGTGGCGGCAGGGGTGAAGGTGGGACCTCCCGGCAGCTGCGTGCTGCAGACCAGGACGCACACTGATGTGCAGAGGGCCGGCTGGGCTCAGCACAGGTGCCTGCAGGCAGCCCTGTCCGTCAGCATAAGCCTTTCACCAGCGTCAGCGTGGCCCCTCCGCACAGTCACACTCAGCTCTGAGTATTGAGCCCTCACTGGTTTGGTTCAGTAGATAGAGCGCCAGCCCGTGGACCAAAGGGTCCCAGGTTCGATTCTGGTCAAGGGCATGTACCTTGGTTGCAGGCTCCTCCCCAGCCTGGTTGGCGTGAGCAGGAGGCAACCAATCCATCTGTTTCTTTCACATCGATGTTTCTCTCTGTCTTTCTCTCTCTTCCACTCTCTCTAAAAATCAATGGAAAAGTATCCTCGGGTGAGGATTCACAAAAAGAAAAAGAAAAGCACAGTGATTATTGAGTGCCTGGGGGTCCCAGACAAATTCTGGTGGGAGACCCAGCCAGGGGCCCAGTGAACAAGTCCACCCCCAATGAGCTGGGTGACGACAATTGCTTGGAAAGAAATGGGACCCCCTTGAAGCTGAGGCCTGGATGGCTGGAAGGAGCCAGTCCCTGAGCAGCGTTCTCAGCCCAGGGCAGAGGGCAGAGGGCAGGACAGGAGAAAAGTGCAGAGGCTAGGGCACATGTGTCAAACACAAGGCCCGCGGGCCAAATCCGTCCCACCAGGCCTTGCAATGTGGCCCGCACCTCGCTGTCATCACTGCACTCCGCTGTGTTTCCATCACAATGACAGTTTATGACTGTTCAGTAAACCATTTGGCCCGCGATTTAGGCTGGATTTTAGATTTTGGCCCCTTCTCTGATTGAGTTCGACACCCCTAGTAGGGCATCGTGAGGGAGGGAGCACGTGTAAGGACTGAGGTTGGAGGGGAACTGACCAGAGAGTGTGGGTGGTTCCTGGATCCTGGAGCCAGGGTGAGGGGCTGGGTTTTATCTGGGTCCAGCAGGAAGCCACTGGGAGTGCCATGCTCTGATGGACACTTTTTAAGGACCCCCACTGGTGCATGGAGGGTGAATTCTGCAGCGAGAATTCTGCAGGGAGGCCAATCAGGAGCCGGCCCTGGAGTGGACCAGGCACCAGGGCTGGATGGTTGACACGGGCCCAGGGGATCAAGGATGACTCCCTGGTTTGGGCTGCAGCCAGCTGGGTGGGCAGTGACGCCATTTCCTGAGATGGGGACAGTTGGGGGGCCAAGAGTTACGCTGTGGAAATGCCATGCAGGGCTGTCCCCCAGGCAAGGGGCCGCCCCCTCCCGAGCTCAGTGGGGGTTCAGAGGCACATGCGGCAGCCCCTGAGCTATACCTCTTTGAAAATAACCGTGGACCAGATGCCACCGCCAGAGACAGACTGGAGAACGAGCCGGGGAGCTGCACGGCACTGGGGGTCGGCCACCGGAGAGGTGGCAGAACCAGCGGAGCACGGGGTCACCGTGGCCAGAGGAGAGTGTTGGCAGAAAACTCTGCCATCCCGGGCTTTCTGTAGCTCCACCTGCGTTCCCCAGGTCTTAGGGAGACCAGGAGCCTGGGTGCCCTCTTCTCCCCACGGCCACCCCCCCTGCCTGTCCCTCCACCCCCTCCCCGCCGACCCCACCGGCCTGCGCTCCCTGGAGGCGCTGCCTGGCAGCGGGCTCAGCTGCCGGCCTCTGTCATGGAGACGGCAGCAGCTGCAGGCGACGGGCATTTGTGAGCATTTGTCAGAGCGCTGCCCTTCCTCCCCGGCCTGCCCTTCTGGAACATTTCTCTCCCATGGCCCTGGAGACGGGGCTCCTGTAGGGCTGGGCGGACCAGAGGGGACAGGAGGCTGTTCTCTGCCTCAGAGCCAGGCTTTCTCCTGTGAGCTGGCTGTTACCCCCACTCGTGTAACCCAACCAGGGGCCCCGTTCGCCATGGGCTCTGCACCCCACACCAGCCATCGCTCTGAGCAGCCCCCATTGCACAGGCGGGCAGTGTCGCCAGGTGGGACGTAAAGACATTGTCACATAGACACTGGGTCACACAGCTGGGCAGGAGCACCAAGTTCTGGGACCTCTGCGCCCCCCACACCCGACATCCCAGGCAGGTGGGGGGCCCCAGGTGATGGTAGAGCTCCATCCATCCCCTCAGCAGCGCTGTTTCCGTGTCTCTGGTGGTTTCTCGCCCGAGTCTGCTGGTTCCGCTGGGCCTAGGCCGGGTGGAGCCTGCCCACCCACTGTTTGTACTTCGTGGCTTGGGATTTGGAGGGGGTGGGGGGGATCTTCCCGGCATGATCGGTATTTACTGGTGGAGGAAAGCAGGAGGCCAGGCCCGGTGCTGCATTTACTGCGAGGTCAGTGACCTGGGATGGACGTGTTTCAGGCCTCAGACCCGTCCCCACCAGCCCCAGGCATGGTCTGCGGGCTTCCCTGGAGCAGGGAATAGGAGTCAGAGAGGGGCACCCACCCTCCTCACCATCCACTCGGTGTGGCCCTCCCTCCTCAGGAGACCTGGACTCCCGGGGGCCGCCACCCCCTCCAGCCAGGCCCCCATGGGCAGAGGGACAAACTCAGGGGGTCGACAGGCTTCCTCCAAGCCCATCCTCACAACCGCCTGGCCCAGGGCCCCTGGAAACACTTTTTCTTTACTCCCTGGGTTCTCTGTTTGTAAAACGGGACTCTTTTCCACCACGGCCAAGCCTTATCCCCCAAGATTCTCCCTAGAGAAGAGACAGTGGAAAGAAGGAGCCCTAACTGACCCCATGACCTCGGTCAAGTCACCTCGCCGCCCTGTGCCCGCAAAGACGAGACTCGGAGTGTCCGCAGGTTCACTCATCCCACAGGTGCCGCCTGAGCCCGGCTGCCTGCAGCCCCTCCAGGCGGGTTGCGGTGAGAACCACACAAGCAAGTTCCCGACTCGGGCTCTGGGGGAGCGGCGGGGACGGGACACGGTGACGGGCACGGGTAGAAGCTGTAGAGCTGGCGGCAGAGAGCGCCGTGTGTGGGGGTGAGAGCCAGGGCCTTCCGCTCTCGGAGAATCGTCTTCCTGGGGCAGAGTCAGGGACGGAGAGTCTGGGGTTCCAGAGCCGCTGGACCAGCGTGAGTGGTTTTGGGAGGCGAGGAGCAGGCCCACTGCGAACGGTGCCCAGTGTCCCCCCACGGCCCCCACACCAGCCCCAGGAGGAGCAGGTGACCGGGGAGGGGTCCAGAGTGGGGCCCAGGGGTTGCCGTAACCTTTGCTTCGCCCGCTCTCCAGGCAGCTGTGCCTCCTGCTGAACGCGGAGAACATCTTCCACTCGATGGCGGACATCCTGCTTCGAGAAGAGGACCTCAAGTTCGCCTCGACCATGGTCCACACCCTCAACACCATCCTGCTCACCTCCACCGAGCTCTTCCAGCTGAGGAACCAGCTCAAGGACCTGAGGACACTGGTACTGCGCCTGCGGGCTCCGGCCGAGGAAATCTGTTCTGCCAGCCCACCCTCCGCCCCGGAGGCCTCTGGGAGGAAACGGGGTGACATCGGAGGTCTCCCTGGGCCGGGGTGAAATCCGGACGCCCCTGGGTTGTTACCGGAAGCGGTACCGTGGGAGTGAATCACAGCTGGTTCCTGAGCAGCGTGTGCAGGCCTCTCAAGGAGACCGTGTGCTCACTCGGGTCCGCGCGCCCTCCCTGACCCATCAGAGGCAGTGCCTCTTCTCCATCGACACCCCACTCCCACCCTGGCACTGCCCCCTGGCACACAGTTCTGGGCCCATGTGGGGGACCCAATGGGTGGATGCCCTCTGATGCCACCTCCCTGTCAGGGCCAGGCCTGAGGCGGTCACCCTGCCGGGGTCAGGGGTCACTGCTCTCGTTGCCCTCCTCCTGGGCCCTGGCCCTGTTCCCCAACAGCTAGACCGTGTGTCTCGAAAGGCGCCCTGTCGGAAGCCGGGGAGTCAGGGCTGCCTGTGCCAGGCTTTGGGTGAGGACTCCCCAGGGCTGATGAGACAGCAGGCAGGCACTCTCCATCCTCCCGCCCTGCGCTGGGGGCCGTGGCCAACGTCATGCTCCCCCGGGGATGGGGGCTGAGTTGCAGAGGGCCTCCAGGGGGCTCGTTCCCCTCTCTGGGCTGTGGCCACCACCCCCACGCCCTCCTTCCCAGCTCAGCCCCTGCATCCACCCCTCTCAGGGTGCCTCCAGGACAGCCAGGCCTGGTCTGAGGGCATCTGGGGCCAAGAGGCTTGGCACGATCCAGGCCACACCCCTGCCTCCTTCCTGTGGTTCCTCTCAGACGTTCGCAGAGGCCTTAAGAATTTTCCTCAGGGCCGGGGCTCCCCCCAATGTGGGTTCAGCTCCTGGGCTGGTTCCCGAGTGCAAGGTGGGCCACAGAGAGGGGGGAGGTGTGCTGTTTGAGGATGAGGGCTGGGAGCTGCAAGGAACCACCTCCCGCACAGCCCTCCCAGCCCCACGCGCTCGGACCCAGGGTCCTGGAGGGGGCAGTCCCTGTGACTCGCCGAGAGCAGAGATACCAGCACCGGAGACAGGCTCCCCCCACCAGACCGTCACCACCACGTGGCTCCGCGGGGCGCAGAGTAATGACAGGGTCCGGGAGGAACCGTCAGCGTTTCCTTTGTGACAGCTCGTTCCCAGCGGGGCTGCCAAACAGCTGGCTCCCGGCTCCCCACAAGGGCCCTTCCCGCTCAGGTCCACACAGGGATCCCGGGTGGGAGGAGCAGGTGGGGAGGGGGAGCCCCCTCTCACTGCGCACGCCTCCCCCAGGAGAGCCAGGACCTGTTCTGCTGCCTGTACCGCTCCTGGTGCCACAACCCCGTCACCACCGTGTCCCTCTGCTTCCTCACCCAGAACTACCGGCACGCCTACGACCTCATCCAGAAGTTGTATCCTTCGCTGTCACCGTTCTCCCGGTCCAGCCGCTGGAGGGGTGGGCCCGCCGCCACCCTCCTGCCCCAGCCTGTGACATCAGGACCCAGTGGGTGCCGTGAGGGATGTGTTTGCTGAGGGCAGCAAACGGTCACCTGGGCCCTCGTCAGGGAGAGCTGGCCCTGGAGAAACCGCATAGACTGGGGATCAGGGCTGAGCGGGCAATCCGGTGCGGGTGTCAGGGAACGGGCGGGGGCGCCTCTGCTGGGGCGGGAGGGAGACAAGGCCTGGGGGGGAGGGGGAGGAGAGGGCACGCGAGCCTGGTGAGAATTAGTGGTGTTGCTGCTGTTTAGGTACCTTCAGGGGCCACAAAGCCAGAGCCAGGGCTCGGCGGTGACCCAGCGGGCAGAGCGGGCTGGCCGGGAGGCCTCAGAGGAGGGAAACCCCCCAGGGGTATGCTTTAAGGGTCAGCCATGGCCTTGCCTGGCTCCCGCAGGTGCTGCTCCCCTTCCACACCCTCAATTTGCTTCTCTCGGTCATTGGTGACCAAGGGACCACAGGCCACACCTGCCATAGCCCTGACCTTGGCTGGGCTGGCGGCATCCACTCAGGCGGGAGCAGGCCCTTCCTGCCCAGCCCTCCCCGCGGGCTGCAGGGCCACGATAAGTGAGAGCCTTTCAGAGCCCAGATCGCAGGGGAGGGAGCTGCCGGCGCGGAGCTGGGGTACCTCATTTAGAGGGACACAAAGGCAGAGCAATAGACCAATGCCCTTCGGATGCGGAATCCAGCTTAGGCAGAAGCAGGCTCAGTGCCTCGGGAGCCGGACCGAGGGAGGAGGGTCGCTCTGAGCCACTGGGTCAGGCCCTCGGGTCTCAGCTGTCCAGCTGCCGCCCCTCCCCTCCAGGCCCCTCCCTGAGACAGGCTGCCCTGGCCCAGGGGGAAGATTTCCTTGACTGCCCACTCAGCGGGGACCTGGAGGTCACGGTGGACTTCCTCACGGAGGTGGACAAGCTGGTACAGCTGATCGAGTGCCCCATCTTCACATGTAAGGCCCTGCCTCTGGCCTCTGGCCTCTGGCCTCTGGCCGGCCTGGAGTGAGACGGGGGTGAAGCCACACTCAGAAGACAGAGGGGGAGGGAGGGAGGAGGGCAGTCACCCCAGGGATACTCTGGAATGTCAGGAACGTGAGACTGGGGAGGAGATCAGGTTCGAGGAGACCAGATATAGCAGGGCTGGGGCATGTGGCATCAGGCCCTGCCTGTGTGCCTGAGGGGGGTCTTGTGGACACACCAGCGCTGACAGCAAAACCCACTGAAGGTGAGCTTCATCGCTGCCGGGAGAACGGGAGCAGTGCTGTCGGGACAGGTGGGCAGCTGTCCCAGCGCCGTGCCGGCCCCTCCCCCAAGCACCCCCTCTCTGCCCTGGCTCTCAGAAGCTGCGGGGACCCTTGGCCCACCTGCAGGCGCTCCCGTGTGCCCAAGCGCCACACACTCCTCTCTCTGCAAAGCAGAGTTGGCATTTGCTGGGAGCCGATGGGTGGGAGTGCCTGATCGTAACACCCAGGCTGAATGTGCAAAAGCGGCAGCTGGCTGTGGCGCACACAGCTCCTGGCGCCTCAGACACGGTGACTGCATGAAACTCATGTGCTTTCAGCGCAGTGAGAAGCCAGCCGCCCAGGCCTTCTGCTCTCGGGCAGCGCCTGTGACCTGTCAGACTAGGCCAGGGGTGGGCACACTGCGGCTCTGTTGACTAATGAGTTTGCCAACTGCTGGGCAAGCCATCAGCCTTCACCCTGGAGCCAAAGGCAGACGCAGGGGCCGAAGACACCACCCTTTACGTCCATCCAAACAGAAGGCAGCTTGTCCCAACAGCCAGGCACATGCTGCCTGATGCCTGAGCGAGGGGAGACCCTGCTCCCCGTGGTCCCCTGAGCTGATCTCACTTTCCTGAGGGCCTCCCAGGCGGCCAGGCACATGCTCCCTTAGCTCAGGTCCATCCCGACCCTAAAAAGCGGCAGCATCTTCTCTCCAGGCCCAGGGCGACCTCAGCAGATGCACCCTGGTGCCTCCGAGCACCCATTCTAACCGGGACGCCTAGACCCAGCTCCCCAGGCCCCAGGGGTTTGGACCCGGATAGGCCCACGCTTCTGTGGAGTTGCAAGGCACAGGGCTGACCGCCCAGGTCTCCCCTGGTGGCCCTGCACCTCGGGAGGGGAGGGCCGCGGAGGCCCTGCTTCCCAGCTTTCCCAGCCCGGGGCCTGGCTGCTCCCTGCTCAGCGTCAGCCCAGATGCTGCACAGCTGCACTGTGGCGTGGCCTCTCCGGGAATGTCACCCTCCACAGCGTTCACCCAGCTGGGCCTAGAGACACGAGAGGGGAGAGGCAGTGCCTCTCCCAGAGGGGCTCGGAGGAGAGGAGGCTGGGCCTGTGTCATTGGGACCGAGGCCCAGCTCCTGACCCTCTCGCCAGCAGCAGCACTCCAGGGCGGCAGTGCTGGCACTGTCCTGCTGCTCTTGGTGCCACGGGGAATCCCCAGGGGAGCAGGGGGCAGCTGAGGTGTTGGGTTTGCAGTCGGGGAGAGAGGCCCTGAAGCCATGCTGCTTCGCTGGCCTCCTCTTCAGTGGCCTTTCCAAGCCCTGGGCGTGTGAGGGTTGCCCTGGCAAGCGCTGAGGAAGGGGTGCGGTGGGAGGGGAGGAGGAGGCAGACAGGCTGCTGCCTGTGAACTCTGGTGCCCCCCTCTCGGGAACCAGCCTGCCTTGCTGGGGACCCTGTGCTGTGGAGGGCCATAACCTTCTCCGAGCGCTACCCACTGCTCTCCTGATCTCAGAATAGAGGGACCCCGCTGCGCGCCCCAAGCCAGGGGAGAGCAAGCCTGCACAGGGCCGCTAGGGAAACGAGCGTCCTTCAGAGTCTCCCATGGGCGGTCAAGGGACAGCCCCAGGCCTAGACAGGGACACGAGCTGGGCAGGGCCAGGGGTGTGTCTCCTCCCACCCAACGGGGTGGTGGCAGGACTGGGGTCTGAGGTGGATTCTAAAGCCCCTGCCAGACACACGTGGGCTGTGTTCCAGCCCCACACGAACGCGCTTCCCATCGTGCCCTCCCCTCAGCGGTCCTAACCCAGCCTCTCCGGCCCACCTATTCACAGCTCGTGTGGCACGGACGGGGACCTGCTGACAGAAGGCCCACGCCCCTCCTTACCAGTGAGGCAGTGAGCATGGGGCAGGGACAGCCCAGGGCAGGTTGGGCGTCGCCAGGCTGAGGTGGCTGTTGAGTAGGAAGAGAGGGTGATGAGGTCAAAGGGACAGCTAGCGCTACTGGATGGGGACCGGAGTGGTACCTGGCTGCTGAGCCCAGTTCTCTGCCACGGCCCCCTGGCTGGCCCTGTCCTGACGAGGCTCTTAACCTCTGACCTCTGCCCTCCTGCAGATCTGCGCCTGCAACTGCTGGACGTGAAGAACAACCCATACCTGATCAAGGCCCTCTACGGCCTGCTCATGCTGCTGCCCCAGAGCAGCGCCTTCCAGCTGCTCTCCCACCGGCTCCAGTGCGTGCCCAACCCCGAGCTGCTGCAGACCGAGTGAGTGCGGGCAGGGCCTGCGCCCGCTGCCTCCATGGGGGGAGGCATTGCCACCCAGCAAGGGCAGGGCCCGAGGGGCTTGGTGAGGACGCTGTGCCTAAGGGGGCTGCCGAGTGTCTCCTTGCCTGGGCATCACACTCTCTGTCACCTCAGACCCTGTCCATCCACAGCCACTTGCCCGAGGGCCTCTCATTTCCATATCAGAACACCAGGCTGGGGGATTGTGGGAGTAGGTGGTAGGGAGACCTTCTCTAAGAAGCGGGATTAACGTGAGAGTCAGAGGTGGCGTGCACCTGTGGCTGCACCGCGCGGTGCTGCCCACGGGAAGAACAGGTATCGGCACCTTTGCCGAGAGGCCCAGCATGGGCAGCTGTGGCAGGAGGCTGCGGCCCCTGGGGGGTCGAGGCTCCCACCCGAACACACTGCTGGCCTGGCCCCTGGAGCCTGTTGGTCCTTGTCTATATTTGGTAACCCTTGGAGGCTTCGCCTCATCCACAGGCATTTGGCATCCGAGATGGAAAATTTCACTTGTCAGGTCGCCATGGAAACAGGCAGAGCCACTGAGAAGATTTACGCTGAATGGAGCGCGCCCAGCTTGCATCAGATGCCCTGTGTGTCTAGAATTCCCTCCCAGGCTGTTCAGGCCGCTCTGCAGGCCTGGCGTCTCGCTCCTGGAAGGGCCTCGCGCCTTCGCCATTGGATGCACTGGCGCCTGTGCCATTGGATGCACTGGCGCCTCTGCCATTGGATGCACTGGCGCCTGTGCCATTGGATGCACTGGCGCCTGTGCCATTGGATGCACTGGCGCCTCTGCCATTGGATGCATTGCCCAGCACTCGGCCCCTTTAGGGCTCAGCCCACCACCCCTCCCCCTGGCCTGGCCTCACCGCAGGCTGGTGTGGGCACCTGACTGCTGGTCTGCCCTGGGCCAGCTGCAGGGGCTTGAGCCCTCAGCAAGAGTGGTCTCTGGACCGAGGCCCAGCTCCTGACCCTCTCGCCAGCAGCAGCACTCCAGGGCGGCAATGCTGGCACTGTCCTGCTGCTCTTGGTGCCATGGGGAATCCCCAGGGGAGCAGGGGGCAGCTGAGGTGTTGGATTTGCAGTCGGGGAGAGAGGCCCTGAAGCCACGCTGCTTCGCTGGCCTCCTCTTCAGTGGCCTTTCCAAGCCCTGGGGGTGTGAGGGTTGCCCTGGCAAGCGCTGAGGAAGGGGTGCGGTGGGAGGGGAGGAGGAGGCAGATAGGCTGCTGCCTGTGAACTCTGGTGCCCCCCTCTCGGGAACCAGCCTGCCTTGCTGGGGACCCTGTGCTGTGGAGGGCCATACCCTTCTCCAAGCGCTACCCACTGCTCCCCTGATCTCAGAATAGAGGGACCCCATGCACGCGCCCCAAGCCAGGGGAGAGCGAGCCTGCACAGGGCCACTAGGGAAACGAGCGTCCTTCAGAGTCTCCCATGGGCGGTCAGGGGACAGCCCCAGGCCTAGACAGGGACCTGGCCCAGCTCTGACCTCAGGCAAGACCACACTTGCTCTGGGTCTCTTCACGGGGAAATGAGCGCTGGGGCTACCTGGGTGCTTGAGGCTGTGCCCAGTCCTCGGGGCTCTGTGTTCCCAGCCGTTCTCAGCAAGGACCAGGCGGACAGGCAGGGAGCAGGAGGTGAGCAGGGGCCTCGGGAACAGCTGGGAGGGGAGGGGTCAGATTGCAGGGTGGGCACAGAGGACAGCCTGGGAGGGACAGGCAGCTGGAGGACAGCGTCAGGTGCCTGACAGGCCTGCAAGCGGGGAACAGCTGAGGGAGTTTCTGGGCCCCCCGCCCTCCCTCGTTCTGTGCGCTCAAGGCGCCCACAGGGCTAAGGGAGACTGGGACCCCCTCAGGCTTCCCGGCCACTCCCCAAAGACATCTCCCCGGTGGGGCTGGAGGAACGCTGTGACGCTCACCACGGTAGCCCGGTGACAGGTGCGGGGAGCGGGGGAGGGGAGCCCAGCTCCGTGCTGCTGGCGTGTCCTCCAGGCATCGCTGCCTGAGGGTTGCAAACACGAAGGACCCGTGTGAGGCCCCTCGGTGCGGTGCCCTCTGACAGGGAGAAGAGCCGGCCCCCAGGGGACATACCCCTCCCTGCGCCCATGACCTCGGGCCAGGAAGGGTCTCCCCTGCAGGGAGGCCGAGTCACTGGGGACAGCTCACTCCTCCCGACCCCCACCCCTACCCTGGCCACATCTTTGCATATCACCCTGGGTTTGCCACTCACTGCTGGCATCTCCATGGAAACCCCTCCTCTCACGCCTGGGGCCTGATGCCGTGGCTCACCAGGCGTGTGGAGGGAGCAGCATACAGACCCATGGAACCCCAGCGTCAAATGGCACGCTTCAGGGTCACCGGCCTCAGGTGTATAGGCCTGGGTTGGGGTAGCTTCCGGCCACCCCCTGAGGTGAGAGGTCCGAGCTCCAGGGCGTCTCGGCCTCCTCAGGAACCAGGTTTCTCTCTCGGGACAGTGGCATCTGTGCCACAGAGTGACTGTGCCAGGCGGTCCCTGCCTGCCATCCGGCCCCTAGAGCAGCCCCTCTCTGATCTTTGTTGAATGATGTTCAGCAAGCAGCTCAGGAGGCAAGGCCTGAGGCCCAGGTGTCTGCAGGTAATGCATCTTCACAAGAAAGCATCGGAGAGCAGGCTGAGGGCGTGCAGGGCCACCTCCAGGCTCCAGACGGCCGACCATGGGAGGGTTCACGCTGCCAGCCCTGGCGCAGCAGCCCCGGGGAGGGTCCGCGGTGCCGTTCAGGCTCAGAGCATTGGGCGCCCGTACCTTGCCGGGAGCCAAGCTCACTGCCGAGGGGTCCATTTGGGTGGAGCACCATCGTGTTTCCCCCAGAATGAACTGAGCAGCTCATGTGCCTCCAGCTGCCGGGCCCTGGCTGGTCACCTCCGAGGGCAGAGCCATGGTGGCTGCCCATGGCTGCCCATCAGGCACCGAGGCGGGGGCTGGAGAAATCCCCCTTTACAGATAAGGAAACTGAGTCACCCAACATCCAATGGCTAGGAAGTGGTTGTGTTGCCATTGGGTCCTATCTGTCTAGCTCCTGCTGCTGCCCGGTCACCCCCATTGGGGTCTCTTCATGAACTCACAGGACCAAGGATTGTCACCAACAGCCCAGAGCCTTCCGAGACCCCTTCCTTAGAGTTCCCAGGGCCCCCAGGCCTCAAGAGCTTAAGGAAGGTAAAGGCCAGCGCACAGATCTGCCCCCAGGCCCGTGCGGCTCCGGGAAGGAGAGCAGAGTCTGCAGGGATGGCGAACGGGCCGGGCCTGAGGGGAGCTAGTCCTCAAGGGCAAGCGGAACACTGAGTTGAAGGGGCAGCAGGGCTACTAGCTTGCACAGCGTAGGGAGGACCAGGCACGCCGTACTAGGAAGTGTGCAGTGCACACGCGTGCTGCTGCACCGAGCAGCTGGGGAGGGTGATGGCAGCAAGAGTGGTAGGAGCCATGGCTTTCCTTCCCCAGGGGCAGCGGCTGCCTGCAGGCTTCTGGGCCCCAACACTCAACGCGTGTCCTGCCGATTGAGGGCCCGGTAGAGACCCTTCAGCCCTCCCTGCTGGCCCCGGCCCTCGCCCTGCCCGAGAGAGTGGGCCAGGCCGCCGCCTCCCCCACCGCTGACCCTGTTCCAGGCCCCAGCTGGCTTCCTGGCTGGCTGCAGGCCCTGGCTTTCACCCCAAAGGGAGCCACTCGTAAACAGGAAATGCTTCCCAATGCGATGCCTGCTCTGGGCGCTGTTGCCAGCCCACAGGCTGGGGGCCCTGTCCAAGCCGCAGTGTTGACCCGTCTCTCCCACTGCTGGGGAGGGGACGCTCACAGGGCTCCTCAGCTCTTTGGGGCTGTTGGGGAAGGGGTGCTGGGCCCGGAGCAGCAAACTCCCGCCATCGAGTCCACCGCCTGGGGCCCGGCCCTCCTGCGTCTGGAGCTGCGCCCCTCCGGCAGCACGTGTGCCGGGACGTTGACCCGAGCCCTTTGCTCCCTCTCCCCAGAGACAGTCTGAAGGCCGCCCCCAAGTCGCAGAAGACGGACTCCGCCAGCATCGACTACGCGGAGCTGCTGCAGCACTTCGAGAAGGTCCAGAAGAAACACCTGGAAGTGCGGCACCAGCGGAGTGGGCGCGGGGACCACCTGGACCGCAGGGTGGTCCTCTGACAGGCCCGGCCTGGAGAAGGGCCCACTGGGGTCTTCGGGCCCCTTCCCGCAGCCTGAGGGCCTGCCTCCGAGCAGGCTGGCCCTGCCACAGCCCAGGGAATGGAGCAGGGGTGGAGGCCGTTCTGTCTACCCCCGCTCGCACCACCCGGCCCCCTGGCCGCCAGCTCTGTCCAGCATTCGGCTCGAGCTGGCTTCCCACAGGGTGGGGCCGCAGCCTCAGACGCCACCTGTCCTCCGGGATGAGTCTTTCTGACGCCCTCCGGCAAAGAGCTTGACCTCCCAGCCCACCAGAGAGAGCCCTGGCCTCATGCAATGCGTGTATGCGTGGCTGTGTGCACACGGGGGCCAGCACAGAGCTCCGTGTGAACGATGCATTCCCGCCCCAATAAAGAAACGACAGGAAACCCTCACCTGCGCCTGCCTGCTCCTTCCCACGGGCGCCCGCCCCTGCCGGATGCGGCAGCTGCCCCAGGACCTTGCACCTATTCTGGAGCCAGGTCTGCTGGTGGCTCAGGGAGGGCCAGCTTCGTGGGGAGTCTGGTTACTGCACGCTCCCTTGACAGGTGTGGGCCCTGGGGCTCCCAGCTCACCCCTAGGAACTGCCCCTACTTCCTGGAGAGCACCAAGGGCTGGGAACCGGAAACCCCTCCCAGGCACCTACTCTGACTCCCATCCCGACTGCCCCAGGGACAGGGGGACACGTCCCCGCTGGACAGACGACCGGGCGCCCCTCCGGGAGTTCCTGAATGGAAGGGCATGCGCACTGCAGAACTGCAGCTCGTGGAGGTGGGGAGGTGGGAGGACGTGCCCAGGTGCTTCCCCTTGGTTTGGCTAAATGAGCCTGGCCGAGCCGCACCTGTAGGCCCCTGACCTCACACTTGGGGAGCCTCTGATTGGCCTGCGGGCTCTTGGTGGCTCTCAGGTGGGAGCAATGGCGCTTTTCCCAGAGCAGCGTCTCTAGGAGGGTGGGTGTCACTGCTGGAGTCTCCGGGGGCAGGACGCGGCCCACTTATGCCCTACTGGCCCCACATGGTCCCCACCACCCCAAGAAAGGTTGCCGAGAACCAGGTCACCACGCCTCCCAAACCCCAGGCACTCCATCAGGCTGGCACCCGTGCCTCTTGGAAAGGGAGCCCAAGAACTTCAGGAGGGGGGTCCGAACGCCTCCGCGCCCGGGATGGAGCGCCCCGGGCAGGCGGCCCTGGGGACACCTGGTGCGGCGGCGGCGCGGCCGTCCCCGGGATGCTCCCAGGGGACCCCGGCCCTCCGCGGGTCTGCGGAGAGCCCGGGGCCCCCCAGGCCGAAGACTCCGGGCGGGCGGAAGGGCGGCGGGAGCCCCTATGGGGGCGGGGAGCCGGCAGGCCCCGCCCCAGCGCCGCCCCCGGCCCGCGCCGCCGCCGCCGCCCGCTCGCCCGACCAGTCTGGCCGCGCCGGGCTCGGATTTCAAAGCCGCGGAGCCTGGCGGCGGACGGGCCCGCGCCCGCCCGGCGGTTCCCACAGCCCCCCCCGCCGCGACCCTCCGCCCCCGCCCCCCGCCCCCCTCCGCGCCCACGTGACGCCCGCGCCGCCGCGGCTCCGGGGCCGCCGCCTCAGTGCCCGCGCCGCCAGCCGCCCGCCGCCGCGCCCCCGGCCGCCCGCCCGCCATGGCCCGCGCCGCCCCGCGGCCGCCCGCCGCCCCCGAGCGCCGCGCCGCCGGCCGCTGAGACCCAGCGCAGGCCCGGCCCGGAGCGCCCCGCCCGCCGCCGCCCGGCTCCCCGCCCGCCCCCCGCCCGGCCCGAGCATGGAGACGGCGGAGAAGGAGTGCGGCGCCCTGGGCGGGCTCTTCCAGGCCATCGTCAACGACATGAAGGTACCGGGGGGGCGCGGGCCCGGGCGCGGGGTCCCCCCCGGGGGCGCGGGCGGGGTGCGGGGTCCCCCCGGGGCTCTGTGTGTGTGTCCTTGGCCGGCCTGCGCCCGCTGCGCGCCCGGCTTCCCCGGGCTTCCCGGCCGCCTGTCTGGGGGTGCGGGTGCCCGTGTGTCGGGGTGCCCGTGCGGTCCCCAGGGTCCCTGCTCTGGGTCACCCGAAGCGCAGCGCCCCCAGGGGTTCGCCGGCGGAGCCTGCGCACACCGGGGCTCCCTGCGCCCCAGACCTGCACACCATGAATGAGGTCTGGCTCCCGGGGTGCCTCTGTGGACCGTTACCAGGTCCGGGGGTGTCTCTCCGGCCTCCGCCCCCTACCACCACCATGCCCCCCCTGCCTCCAAGGCTGGCCTTGAAGCCCCGTCCATGCTGTCACCCCCAAAGCAGGGGGAAATAATGAAGCGGAGAACCGTTAACTCCTTCCCCACCGGCCTCGCCTCTGGGCCGACCCTGCGTCTGCAACCATCCCCCAACGGGCCTCCCAAAACAGCTGTAGAACTCCGGGGTCCCCAGGCTGAGTGTCCCCTGCGTGCCAAGGCCTCTGTCCTTACCTTGGGAGGAGGAGGAGGGAGAAGGTTGGGATTGGCAGAGCAGCCCCGAGGGAGGGCCTTCCCCACCCTGCTTGCACCCCGGGCCTCAGCTCCAGCCCCTCGGCACGACTGCCCCACGGCCAGGCCGGAGCAGGCCGCCCACCCCTGGCCCACCACGGGCTCCCCGGGCGGGGAAACCGAGGCCAGGGGGTGACTCAAGGTCATTTAGGAGACAGTTAGACACTGTCCCTGACCTCACCCCGTCTTTGTGGATCCAGGAGGCCAGGTGGCAGGGCTGGCTCTGGCAGACAGGCAGGATGGGGCCAGGACCGGTTCCTGCCCCTCTCCCTTGGGGGGTGGGGAAGGAGAAAGGAGGACTGGGTTCCCACGGGAACTCCGAGAGAGAGCCCCCAGCCGCCCAGCCTCTCACACCTGCGAGGCCACAGCACCACCCCAGGTGACATCACAGGCCTAGGAGGTGCTCAGGCCGGCCCTCAGGGTGTGGGGGGTTCCAGGCGTGCCAGCGGCCCCTGTGCTGCCAGGGCACGGCCCCATGGGCAGCTGCCAGGGACCTGCTCCCCACAGGAGGCCCGAAGCCCCCTGGCCTGGGCCTGCGGGTAGGCAGCATGTAGTGCCCCCCACACTCCCATAGGGGGTGCTTCCCCTGAGACCGTCACCCCTTACAAATCTCCCTCAGCCCTGCTGGCCCGGAAGAGTGCCACCGGCCTCTCTCTGCCTTCAGCAGCTCCTCCTGCCCTGTGGGCATCACAGCCCTGGCACCAGGATCTCCTCCCCTGGGACCGGGCAGCCCAGACCACCCTCCCTCCCCGCCCCCCGCTGCCACTCCCAGGGCCGGCACCCTCCTCCTGCTGGCAGCCTCCAAAACACGCAGAGAGCAGCAGCTGGTGCTCAGAGAGGCAGGATCCCCTCTCCCTCTCCAGGGTGCCTGCAAGAAACTTGGGGATAAGGAAGAAGCAAATATCTTAGAACAAGAGGCCCAGGTTACAGCAAGAGGTGCAGGCAGGATTTTCTGACTGGAGGCAGAGAGGGAGAGGATTCACCTGGGGTGATGCCAAGCGCACATATTCCCCCGCCTATGACACATGCGTATGTTCTGGCGGGGACAGAGCAGGGACTGGGCCACCCAGAGGCCCTTGGCCTGGCTCGAGGGGACCGCTTCTGTCCTCCCCGGAGGGTAGCTGCGGCAAGAGCATGACTTTGCCCCGTGAGGCCTCACCACGGCCCAGCCTGGCCCTTGGAAGGCCCACCCCCTGGCTTGAGGGCTGGAGGGAGGGGCTCCCCGAGCTGTGCCTGGAGCCGGAAGTGTGTGGAGGGGGGCACCCACTCAAGAGTGGAGAGGGGAGCCGAAACCGGTTTGGCTCAGTGGATAGAGCGTCAGCCTGCAGACTGAAAGGTCCCGGGTTCGATTCCGGTCAAGGGCATGTACCTTAGTTGCGGGCACATCCCCAGTAGGGGATGTGCAAGAGGCAGCTGATCGATGATTCTCTCTCATCGATGCTTCTAACTCTCTAGCCCTCTCTCTTCCTCTCTGTAAAAAATCAATAAAATATATATTTTTTTAAAAAGAGTGGGGAGGGGGCCTCTCAGGAGCTCTCCCTGCTTGCTCTGCCTCCTTGGACTCAGCTCAGATGCCCACTTGGTGCCAGGAAGCCCACTGGAGCCCACAGAGGGGCAGGGACTTGCCTGAAAGGCCAGGACTGGGCTCAGTACCTGGGCTCTGCCTGCTTCCGTCCCCACCTTCAGCCAGGTGGGTGAATGGGGCCTCCTCCCAGCACTGGCCCCTCCCGAGGACGGGGCCATCACTCTTTGCCCGCCCTCTCAGGAGTGGCGAGTGCCCCCCAGACCCAGAGGCCCTGGCCGGGCTCCTGGCAGGGGGGCGGGATTCGCACTTACCAGGTGTTGGCCCATGCTAAGCGCCTTCCGGCCAGCGCCTCCTCAGGGCCCTCCGAGCATGTCAGACTCACGGCCGGCCGGGCCGCACGCCTCGTTTGTACCATCCGGCCACGAGTGTAACATGCTTGCTCTACACGGACCCCACCAAGGAGATAGGCTTCCCATCCTGACCTTCCAGGAGAGGAGACTGAGCCTCAGAGAGGGGTCCCTGGCTCAGGGACCCTGGAAAACCCTCTCCCTGGCGTGGCAGCCTGAGTCACCCACCGGCTTCGCCAATGCTGAGACCACGTCCAGCACCCAGAGTCTGAGGACTGCGGTCCCCGGGGCCTCCTCGTTGGTCTTATCCCTCCCACGTGGATACCTCTAGGGACAGGCGTGTCACCGTCCCCTTCCTGAGTCCCTCCCAGCCCTGACGTCCCTGCCTCTCCCCACCCGGATGCCCAGAGGCTCTTCCTCCCACCCCCCCACAGCTTCTACCTGGACCATGGTGACCCGTCAGGCAGGGATCACATCCTGAGGGCCACGTGGCAGCCTAACCTTCATCTCTCTCTCTTTTTTAAATTTTTTTAAATATATTTTATTGATTTTGTACAGAGAAGGGAGGGAGAGAGATAGAGAGTTAGAAACATCAATGAGAGAGAGTCATCGATCAGCTGCCTCTTGCACACCCCCTACCGGGGATATGCCCGCAGCCAAGGTACATGCCCTTGACCGGAATCGAACCCAGGACCCTTCAGTCCCCAAGCCGACGCTCTATCCATTGAGCCAAACCAGTCTCGGCTTCTTTTTTTTTTTTTTTTTTTCTTTTTTTTTTTTTAATATATATATTTTATTGATTTTTTTACAAAGAAGGGAGGGAGAGGGATAGAGAGTTAGAAACATCCATGAGAGAGAAACATTGATCAGCTGCCTCCTGCACACCCCCCAGTGGGGATGTGCCCACAACCCAGGTACATGCCCTTGACCAGAACCGAACCTGGGACCCTTCAGTCTACAGGCCGACGCTCTACCCACTGAGCCAAACCGGCCAGGGCTGACCTTCATCTCTGAGCCTCTGGTGTCTAGAATGGGGGTGACCAGTCTTCATCTCTCGGGGCGGTTGGAAGGATTCGGTGCGATCCCACGGGGACAGGGCTCACTGTCACCAGTGAGAACATCCCAGCGTCTCAGGGCCTGCAGCCAGGCGCGGGCCCCGGGAGGACTGAGGACGCGCTCCTGGCTGCTCCGGCCCCTCGGGTCTCCAGCTCTGGGGCCCTTTAAGAATTACCAGGAGGGGTGGAGGCCTCGGGCCGTCGCTGAGGGGGACCTGGGCCTGGCCTCCCCACGCCCCATCACCGTGAGAGAGAGTGAGGCCAGGCAGGTCCGAGATGGAGGGAGCCTGGCCAGGTCGAAGCTGTCGGGACGGGCCTGGGCCCTGCAGGGAGGACGGACTCTTCTCTGCCTGGTTTCCCCTGGGCCCTTGCTCTCTCGGGCTGCCCAGGGGCCCCAAAGGTCTCCGGGGGGCCAGGACGGCTGCACTGCCCCCCCCCCCCCCCCCTCACATACTCTTTCCTCCCTGGAGGCCTCCTCTCAGCAAGGGCCTGGAGGGGTGGCGTGGGAGGGGGTGCCACCTTTCAGAGGACCCCTGGGGGTGCCAGGGTGAGGGACCGTGGTGACAGCCCACCCACAGCCTCCCCGCCCCCTCCGCTCCAGCCTGTGTGAACTTCTCAAATATTTGCTTTCCCTGGGCACTGGTTGGGCTGGGCAGGGAGGGGAGGGAATCTCTGAGGCCCCCAGAAGCCGCCCCGTCTCCTGTCCGCCCCCGCAGGCTGTGCTCGGCTGCAGGGGCCGTTTCAGAGCTGCGCCTGGGTTCCCGTCCAGCAGAGCCCCCCTCAGAGATGGGGCAGGGTCTCTGCCTCCCTTTTTCCTTGGGATTAGCCACTGCGCCTCGTCCCACGTGGAGGGAGGGCTGGAAACCCATGGGCCCCGGCCTCAGCTCCCTTTCAAAGGCTGAGGCTCCTCCGAGACCCAGCGGCCATGGGAAGGCACATGAGCCCCTTGAGTAGACTGGACAGCTCGGTCGCCAGGAGCCTGGCGTCCCTACGGGGACTCCCCCTCCCCAGCTTGGAGCTCCGGGCCAGGCTGGGATAAAGGCCACACTGTGTCCCCAGGAGGGGCGGGGGGGAGCCGGGGTGGAGAAAGGTGGCTCTGTTGGCCGCACAAGGCCCCATTCAGCCCAGGGCCTGGCTGTCCCGGCGGGCTGTCACACCCTCCCCGGCCTGGGAGCCACTGCTGCCGCCGGGCTGGGTGCTGGCTGGGCTGGCAGCAGCTTCCAGGCACAGAGGAGGGCCCTCTGGGTCCTGAGCCCTGCCCCCCTGCACGGTGCCTCTGCCCGGGGCCACGTCTGGGGAACACGGAGCCCCCCGTGTGGCTCAGCCCAAACCCCGAGCACAGGGCACCTGCCGTGTACCGTTTTCGCCTCCCCTGAGGAAGGATGTGCCTGAAGACAGGAGGCCGGACTTCCTGATGGTCAGGGAGGAGGGAGGCACAGGGGCATCTGTTCCCAGGGCCGGGACTTCCTCCTGCGCCCGCCTCTGTCCTTGGTCCTCTGTTCCGGGCCCCCCCCTCCCTCCCCGAGGCATCTCTCTTCCTCCCCGTCTCCCCCACAGAGCTCCTACCCCATCTGGGAGGACTTCAACTCCAAGGCCACGAAGCTGCACTCCCAGCTCAGGTGAGGCTGCTGAGGGCGCCCGGCCGGGGAGGGGCAGGGCCGGGGCACGTGAGGACACCTCCCCTCAGACCCTCACCGTCCGTCTCCCCAGGACCACGGTGCTGGCTGCGGTGGCCTTCCTGGACGCCTTCCAGAAAGTGGCCGACATGGCCACCAACACCCGAGGTGGGGAGGGGCCCGGCGGAGGGAGGTTGGGGGCCCCGGGTTGGGCTCGGAGACTGGGACTGTGAGCCAGGGAGAGGACGCCAGGCCCAGAGGCGGGGTCCTGATCCTGCTTCCTCACGGAAGGGGCTGGCTCCTGGGAAAGGGAGCCTCTCGTCGCCAGAGGCACGCAGGCGGGAGTGGGTGCCGGCGTCAGGGGTGTCCCGGGGGCTTCCGTTCTTGCCCCTGTGACCCCTCAGCCGCAGCTGTTCACCCGTCTGTACGGTGGGTCTGAGTAGGGCGACTTCCCACCCCCTCACCTGCCCTCAGAGGGGTCACAGGGGCAGTGAGCCTTCCCTGTTGGCTCTGGCATCTCCTTTGCTTTCTGGTCTGAGGAGCGGGGGCCTGGCTCCCCTGTTCCTTCGGGTGGTGAGAGCCAAGGCAGGGAGCTGGTGCTGGCACTCACACCTGCATCTGGGCATACCTGGGGCTCCTGGGGGGGAGAGGGGGACCTGGGCTGGCTCTTCGGCTGGCTAGTTCTGACCTCTCCCAGCTGAACAAAGGGCTCCCGACCACAGAGCACCTGCAGCTGCAGAAGGCCAGCATGGGCAGGGCCTTGGTGGGGGTGGGTAACTCCTGGGGAAGATCGCATGCCCCACGGGGGACTGGGACCAGACCCTGGGGACAGACGGGCAGGATTGTGGGATGCTGGGGACACGGGATGGACGGGACGCGGCCTGGCCTGGCCTGGCCTTCGCGGGCCAGCGCGCCCCCTGGTGGCCAAGGCCGGGAGTGCAGCGGTCCCGATGGGCCCTATCCCACGCCGCGCGCTTGCCTCGCCAGGGGCCACCCGGGACATCGGCTCGGCGCTCACGCGCATGTGCATGCGCCACCGCAGCATCGAGACCAAGCTGCGGCAGTTCACCAAGTGAGTGGGCGCCGCGGGCGGGCGGGCGGGCGCGCGGACGGGGGTGTCACTGCAGGAGGCGCCCCCGCTGGCCCTGACCCGCACACCCGTGTCCGCAGCGCCCTGCTGGAGAGCCTCATCAACCCGCTGCAGGAGCGCATCGAGGACTGGAAGAAGTCCGTCAACCAGCTGGACAAGGACCACGCGAAAGGTGAGGCTGTGGCTCCCCCGGTTCCCGCCCCCGCATTCCCACCCCCACGCTGCCTGCGGAGACCCCAGCACGGCTCTCCTCTCTCATCGCCTCCTGCAGAGTACAAACGGGCTCGGCACGAGATCAAGAAGAAGTCCTCAGACACGCTGAAGCTGCAGAAGAAAGCACGCAAAGGTAGAGCCCAGAGCCGCCCGCCCGTCCAGGCACAGCCCCCTGGGCCCCCACTCCACGGACCCCGCTGCCCTCAGGGGTGTCCCGGGGCATCATCCTGGCCACAGGGACCCTGTCCTGGGCACAAGACCCTGGACCTGTTGGGTGGGACAGAGGGAGCCTCCCTGCACCCAGACCAGGCCCCACCCTCCCCTCTCAGAAGGTGGCCGGAGGCTCCACCGGCCCAGGCTCTCGTACCCTCCGCCCCCCTCATCCCCACAGCCCCCCCGGAGTGGCTCTGTCCATCGGCTGTCTTTCACACATTCTCTCTTTCTCTGTCTCTCCTCTTCCTTCCACATCCTTCCTGTAGAGCTACTTGGTAAGTCAAATGTCCATCTCTCCAGCTGCTTCTCCCGTCCTTGTTGCATTTGTCTGTCTCCCCAGCTCTCAGGGCCATTGCAAAGAGCTTCCCCCAGCTGAGGAGGTCGGCCTAGCCAGGGAGGGGCCTGGGGCACAGTTCCCCGGGGGCCCCGAGACCAGGGATGACTCCGGGGCCACTGCTGGGTCAGTCTGCCAGGTCAAGAGGGGTTGGACCACCCTGGCGGGGTGGGGGGAGACAGGCCTTACCTGTCTTGCCCCCGCCCACCCACCACCCAGAATTCTTACCTGTCACCTCCCCACTTCCTGTCTCATTGCTCCTCTACTTCCTCTTCTCGCCTCTCTCTGCCTCTCGCTGCTTCTCGGTGTTGCCATTGCTGTTCTGTGCGTTGCTCCCTGAGCTGAGTGGGGCCACATGGAGACACCGCTCTCCCTGCTCCCAGAGCCCAGCTCCTGCTCTCCTGACCAGGCCTGGAGGACAGCTGAGCCCCATGTTCTCTCTACTGTGCCCACCCCATCCCCCTCCAGTGCCCTAGGAGGCGAGAGGGTGCCATCCAGCAGGCAGTGAGAGCCCTGGGGAGGGTGGAGATCTCCCCCAGGGCCTGGGTGGCTTTGCAGCTTTGGTGTCTTTCCTGTGTACGTGTCTATGTCTGTCCGTCGTCTTCGCCTGCTCTGGGGACCAGCCCCGGAGTCCCGACGGCCCTCCCCGGTCCCCGGCCCCCATGGCAGTGCCCAGCCCCCAGCCAGGGACACCACCGCGGGCCTGAGCCACAGACCAGCCAGCGGGCTGGGTCCCCAGCTTGGCCTCTCCTCCCCGCCCTCAGGGAAAGGCGACCTGCAGCCCCAGCTGGACAGCGCCCTGCAGGACGTCAACGACATGTACCTGCTGCTGGAGGAGACGGAGAAGCAGGCGGTGCGCAGGGCGCTGATCGAGGAGCGCGGCCGCTTCTGCACCTTCATCACGTTCCTGCAGCCCGTGGTGGTGGGTCCGGGCAGCGGGCACGGGGCGCCCGCACGGGGCCGGCCGGGTCCCCTCGGGCGCTGCCTTCACCACGTCCAAGAGTCAGGACTTGGGGGCTACTGGGCAGGCGCCCTTCTTTATTATTATTATTATTATTATTACTTTTTAATATATTTTATTGCCGAAACCGGTTTGGCTCAGTGGTAGAACGTCGGTCTGTGGACTGAAAGGTCCCGGGTTCGATTCCAGTCAAGGGCATGTACCTTGGTTGCGGGCACATCCACAGTAAGGGGTGTGCAAGAGGCAGCTGGTCGATGTTTCTCTCTCATCGACATTTCTAGCTCTCTATCCCTCTCTCCTCCTCTCTGTAAGAAATCAATAAAATACATTTAATATGTGTGTATACATATATATATATATATATATATATATATATATATGTATATATATTTATTGATCTTTTACGGAGAGGAAGGGGGAGGGATAGAGAGCTAGAAACATCCTCCTGCACAGCCCTACTGGGGATGTGCCCGCAACCAAGGTTCATGCCCTTGACTGGAATCAAACCTGGGACTCTTCAGTCCACAGGTTGACGCTCTATCCACTGAGCCAAACCGATTTTGCCAGGCGCCCTTCTTTTTTTTTTAAATATATTTTCATTGATACCAGAGAGGAAAGGAGAGGGAGAGCAAGAGAAACATCAGTGGTGAGAGAGAATCACTGATGGGCTGCTTCCTACACACCCCCTCCTGGGGATCGAGCCCGCAACCCAGGCATGTGCCCGACCGGGACTCTGACGGTGACCTCCGGGGCCGTGAGTTCTGGTTGGTGACTTGGTGTCAGCAGGCTGGGCCGGGCCCAGGGTTGACCCCTTGACCTTGGAGAAAGGCCGCTCTCGGTGGCCCCTCGCTGGGTGCGTCCAGCGCTAAACACTCCTCCCCAACGGCCTGTCTCAGCGCTTCATCACCTGTGTGTCCGGCACACGGTCACGCCGCCCCCGGCTGTGCAGGCCCGGCCTCCTGCAGCCCCAGCAGCTCTGGCTGTGGGCAAAGGGTGAGGGAGGAGGGGCCCGGGGAGGCCTGCTCCCCCGGTGGGCAGGCAGGGCAGCGGGCGGGGCCGGCGGCCCTCACTCGCTCCCTCCTCAGAACGGCGAGCTGACCATGCTGGGGGAGATCACCCACCTGCAGGGCATCATCGACGACCTGGTGGTGCTGACCGCAGAGCCCCACAAGCTGCCGCCCGCCAGCGAGCAGGTAGGGCCGGGCCTGGGCACCGGGGGAAGCACAGGAGGGGACGGCCTGCCCTTGGCTGGGGGCAGTCAAGGAGAAAGGGGGACAGCTGAGGACAGAGGACCGGACATGTCCTGACACCCACTGGGGGGCACCCAGGGGCGCCAGGTGAGGGGCGATGTACCCCAGGACCCAGCAGGGGCTCAGACTGAGTGCAGGTGGACAGAAGTCCCGGATTCATGGGGCTTGGCCCTGACCCTGACCTTGCCCGCCTCGCCCCCTCACCCTGCTCCCGCTGAGCCAGGGTCAGTCCTGGGGCAGCCTGGGCATTGCTCTCACTGGGCACTGCCACGCCCAGCACGACCCACGGCCGTCAGAGCATCACCCACCAAGACAGGAGCCGTCGGAGGCCCGAGGGGTCTAGAACATGCCTGAGGGGCTCCACGGAGCCGGGGTTCGAACCCCCTGGTGTCCTTTACAGTCCCTCTCCCCTGGCTCCCCTGTCAGCGTCAGTGCGTCCTCGGGGGCCCTGCTCCTGCCATGTCCCCGGCCCGGCCCTGTGTGTGCGGACTGAGCCTGGCCCGGGGCAGCGTCCTGCAGCCTCAGAGGGCAGGACCTCCCGGCACCGCCTGCTTCCTGCCCCGAGTACGGGCTGGGGAGGGGGGCTTCACACTCCGGGGTCTCCTGCCGGGGCCGGGGCCGGGGTCTCCGTTGAGAAGAGAGTAAGTAGGAGGGCCCTCGGGGGGACCCCAGGAAACGTAAGGCCCGTGACCCCATCCCTGTCGCCGTCCCCGTCCAGGTGATCAAAGACTTGAAGGGCTCGGACTACAGCTGGTCCTACCAGACCCCGCCCTCCTCGCCCAGCAGCTCCAGCTCCCGCAAGTCCAGCTTGTGCAGGTCAGTGGGGGGGTGCGGGGCGCAGGCACGGGGTGGCGCCTGGAGCTGCTCCAGGCCCGCGACTCGCCCGGTTCCCGTCACTGAGGGGTTCGCAGACAGGAGAGCACACCCCGCAGGGGCCGCGTGGGGCCGGGAGGGGCTGTGAGGAGCAGAACCCCCACCTGGGGCTGTGCCCCGGGCTTCCTGCATCTTCTCTGCTGACTCCGACACGCTGTGCCAGGTGTGGGGGGTGTCCCCATTCCACAGGAGGGGAAACTGAGGCCTGAGACCATTGACTCGGCCAGGCCCAGCGCAGACGGGGGTGGGGGGGTGGGGGGGGGGAGGTGATTGTAAGAATCTAAGGTGGGGGAGAGGCGTGGAGGCTTCTGGAGTGGGTGTGGAGGCCACCCCGCTGACAGGCTCCAGCTGGCCAGGTTCCCAAGAGACAATGTGTAAGAACCAAGGCTCCTTGGGCGGGAAGGCCGTGAGCACAGAGCACGCGACTCGTGCTGGGGGAGCCCCCTGGGCCGGGCACCCCTTCCCCAGCACCACCCCCGGCTGGGCACCGCTCCTGCCGGGAGAGGAGGGCCGGTCTCCTGGACCCGGTGTCGGCATCACGGGAGGGAGTGTTGGTTGCAGGGACACCCCTGACCAGAGACGGGGCCAGGGGAGGGGTGGGGGTGGGGACGGTCAGGGTCACACTCAGGAAGGGGGTGCAGCGGGGCACAGAGGATGTGAGCGGCAGGGCTGGCCCCCTCGGGGCGCAGGACGAGGCAGCGGTGGGTTTGAGGGAGGACGGTGTGGGAAGAATCGGACTTGTGTGCGGACGCCTGGTGACTCGGTTTCCCCATTAGCCTAAGGCCTCCTGCTCTGAGGGCAGCACAGGAGGCTGAGGGCCCACCTCCCCCCGGCGTGCCCGGACCCCAGGGGGTCTCTGGTGCCGCCCTCTGCCCAGGCCCACCCTGTCCCTCGGTCCCGGAACCCCGCTCCCCTGGTCCCTGGGCCTCAGGACCTTGTAGTCCGCATGTGTCAAACACAAGGCCCGCGGGCCAAATCCGTCCCGCCAGGCCTTGCAATGTGGCCCGCACCGCGCTGTCATCACTGCACTCCGCTGCGTTTCCATCACAGTGACAGTTTATGACTGTTCAGTAAACCATTTGGCCCTCGATTTAGGCTGGATTTTAGATTTTGGCCCCTTCTCTGATTGAGTTCGACACCCCTACTGTAGTCTAACCTTGTCTCTTCCTTCCTCTGCCCCTCACCTGTCTCCCACCCTCGTCTCTCACTTTCCCTCCCACACACACCGTGTCTCCCTGTCTGGCTGCTTTCCCTCCCCCAGCGCCCCCAGCGGCAGCGGCAGCGGCAGTGCCAAGGGCGGCGGAGCCCCGTGGCCTGGGGGCGCCCAGACGTACTCACCCAGTTCCACCTGTCGCTACCGCAGCCTGGCACAGCCAGCCTCCGCCACCGCCCGCCTCTCCAGCATCTCCTCCCACGACTCCGGCTTCGTCTCCCAGGACGCCGCCTACTCCAAGCCTCCCTCGCCCATGCCTTCCGACATCACCAGCCAGGTGAGGGGTCCGGCCCCTGCCGGCCGCAGGCTGCTCCGAGTGGGGCTGCCACACGGGGACGAACCAGGCTCACTGCCTCGGGCTCCCGGGGGGGGGGGGGGGGGGGGGGGCCTGGGGAAGGCCTTGGAGCAGCCACACGGCCAGCCCAGCGTGTCAGCAGGTGGCTCCTGGCCGCCTCCTCGCCTCCTCCCTCCGGCCCTGGGGGCAGGGCGGGCAGCGGGCCAGCTCGCTCCAAACCTGAGACCGGCCGGAGGGTCCTCGGGGCAGGCCCAGGTCCTCCGGGAGGTGGACAGCGAGGGTCCTGCCCCAGGGTGTCCCCGAGCACTGCCCCTCCCTGGGCCGCTGCTTCCTGTCCGCACAGACAAGCTCTCGTATCTTGAAGGCCCTCCTCACCCCCGACACAGCCCTCCTGCCATCCAGGTCTCCTTCACAGCACAGCTTCTCGACAGAACTGTCTACCCTGCCATCTGACCCTCATTTCCATTCACTCCCAACCCCAGAGAGGAGATAGCCATTTTAAAAAATATTTTATTGATCTGAGAGAGCGAAACAGATTTTTTTTAAAAAATACATTTTTTTTATTGATTTCAGAGAGGAAGGGAGAAAGAGAAATAGACACATCAACGATGAGAATCATCAATTGGGCGCCCCCTGCACTCCCCACATTGGGGATCAAGCCCACAAACCAGGCATGTGCCGTTGGTCGGAATCGAACCCAGGACCCTCCAGTCCGCAGGCTGATGCTCTGTCCACTGAGCCAAGCCAGCCAGGGCGAGAGGAACAGATTCGTTATCCCACTTATTCGGGCAGTCAGTGGTTGCTTCTTGTATGTGCCCTGACCGGGGATCGAACCCAAAACCTCGGGGTCCTGGGACGACGCTCTAACCCACATGTGTCAAACACAAGGCCCGCGGGCCAAATCCGTCCCGCCAGGCCTTGCAATGTGGCCCGCACCGCGCTGTCATCACTGCACTCCGCTGCGTTTCCATCACAATGACAGTTTATGACTGTTCAGTAAACCATTCGGCCCGCGATTTAGGCTGGATTTTAGATTTTGGCCCCTTCTCTGATTGAGTTCGACACCCCTACTCTAACCGATGAGCTCCCCGGCCAGGGCAGGGAAGCAGCGCTGTTTGTATAGCTCCTCGTCGGCAGAGTGAAGAAAGCCCATTCTGTTCCCGGTTTAAGTGTGGTCGGTTTTGTTTGGGGTTTTTTCATGACTAAGTGCTGAGTTTTCCTCCTTTTTCTTTTTAATCCTCGCTGAGCGTCTGCCCCTGCTTGTATTTTGTTCATTCGTTTTCGTTTTGAGTCGGGGCCTCCCACAGGGACGTCTGCTCCCACATTCTACTGAATCGGCTCTCACGGCCCCACGCTGCCCCTCCGCCCTCGGCTGCCCCCTCCACCCCCCACAGCACAGCTGCCCCTGCCTCCTCCACCCACCCCGGAGGTGTCACCTGCTTGCTTCCTCCTCACCAGCGGCCCCCGTCTCTCTCCTCTGCCGGGCCCTCTTCCCGGCCGCTGGCCTGGCGGCCCCAGGGCCCCCGCCCTGTGCTCTCTCTCCTCTCACGGCGAGGTGACCTCGTTCTGTCCCTCGGCTGCTGCGTGTGCGGCTCCAACCCCCGCTTCTCCCCGAACCCCCGGCTCGTACGTTCAGTGGCTGCCGGGGGCGGATGCCACACGGGCAGCTCAGCGTAGCAGGTGCCGCAGGGAGCTCTGGGCCCGCCTTGCCCAGCGGCCCTTCTCCGAAAGCCGGCACCCCCGGCCAGCCGCCCGGCCAGCCCCGCCGCCGCCCCCTCTCTGCTCCCCGGCCGCCAGCTGCAGGCCTGTCCCTCGTTCTCGGGGCGGGGGCGGGGGCGGGGTCAGAGCTGGAGGCGTGCGCTCCGGTGCTGTATGCTGCGGGTGCTCTCAGCCGGGAGCCCGGAGGGGCCCTCTGCATGTGCCGTGACCAGCTCTGTTCTCTCCTCCGCCCGCCCGCCCGCCCGCCCGCCCGCCTCTGCACGGCAGAAGTCCTCCAGCTCCGCGTCCTCCGAGGCCTCGGAGACCTGCCAGTCCGTTAGCGAGTGCAGCTCCCCCACCTCGGTCAGTGCTCCCCCCACCCCCACCCGCTACCGGGCGCGAGGAGGGCCCCGTCCACACAGCCCCTACACACACACACACACACACACACACACACAGCCCCTACACACACACACACACACACACACACACACGGCCCCTACACACACACACACACACACACACACACACGGCCCCTACACACACACACACACACACACACACACACGGCCCCTACACACACACACACACACACACACGGCCCCTACACACACACACACACACACACACACACACGGCCCCTACACACACACACACACACACACACACACACACGGCCCCTACACACACACACACACACACACACACAGCCCCTACACACACACACACACACACACACACACGGCCCCTACACACACACACACACACACACACACACAGCCCCTACACACACACACAGCCCCTACACACACACACACACACACACACACACGGCCCCGTCCACCCAGCCCCTACACACACACACACAGCCCCTACACACACACACACACACACACACACGGCCCCGTCCACCCAGCCCCTACACACACACACACACACACAGCCCCTACACACACACACACACACACACACACACGGCCCCGGTCCACACAGCCCCTACACACACACACACACACACAGCCCCTACACACACACACACACAGCCCCCACACACACACACACACACACACACAGCCCTACACACACACACACACACACACACACACACAGCCCACACACGCCTCTCCCTCCCGGCACCTGTCAGCCGGCCGCCGCCCCTGCTCCTGGCGGGCGGAGGGCTCACAGCACCCGCCACGCTGTGTCCGGATCGGGAGCCCGAGGCCCCACGTGGCCGGAAACCCTGGCCCTCAGCGGCAGCCGGGGCCCCTGACCCGCCTGCCCGCCCCGCAGGACTGGGCCAAGGCCGGCCCCCACGAGCAGCCCTCCACCCTGCAGCGGAGGAGGGACCGCGTGGAGCTCCTGAGGGACGCGGAGCCGGGCCCGGCCGGCGGGGGCAGCGTGGGCCCCGGGGCCGACGAGGCCCCCCGCCCCCGCATGTCCCCGGCCACCATCGCCGCCAAGGTAGGCGCAGCCCCCTCCCCGGGCGTCCCGGCCGGGCCCCCCTGCCCTCCCGCGGCGGCCCTGCCCCCGGGGGGCGCTCCCGGGGCCCCCGGGGAGCCAGGCTCAGCCGCCGTCTCCCGCCCAGCACGGCGAGGAGGTGTCCCCGGCGGCCAGCGACCTGGCCATGGTGCTGACGCGCGGCCTGAGCCTGGAGCACCAGAAGAGCAGCCGGGACTCGCTGCAGTACTCGAGCGGCTACAGCACACAGACCACCACGCCCTCCTGCTCGGAGGACACCATCCCCTCCCAAGGTAGGCCCCGGGGCTGGGGCGGGGGGCTCCCCGGCCGCCCGCCCCCCGGCCCCGGCCCACGGCCTCCCCTGCCCCCAGGCTCCGACTTCGACTGCTACTCGGTGAACGGGGACGCGGACGGCGAGGGCCCGCCCGAGTTCGACAGGTCGTCCACCATCCCCCGCAACAGCAACATCGCCCAGAACTACCGGCGGCTGCTGCAGACCAAGCGGCCGGCCTCCACGGCGGGGCTGCCCAGCGCGGGGCTGCCCGCCGCGGCCGCCGCCGGCTCCGGCGCGCCCCCCGGCGTGGCCACCATCCGCCGCACGCCCTCCACCAAGCCGGCCGTGCGCCGCGCCCTGTCCAGCGCCGGCCCCATCCCCATCCGGCCGCCCATCGTGCCCGTCAAGACGCCCACGGTGCCCGACGCGCCGGGCCACGCGGGGCCCACGCGGGCGGGCAGCGAGGAGTGCGTCTTCTACGGCGGCGACGAGGCCGGCTCGCCGCTGGCGCCGGACCTGGCCAGGGCCTCGCCGAAGCGGCTGAGCCTGCCCAACGCCGCCTGGGCCGCCGGCCCGGCCCCCGAGGACGAGGAGCAGCAGCAGCAGCAGCAGCAGCAGCTGGCCGCCAACCGGCACAGCCTGGTGGAGAAGCTGGGCGAGCTGGTGGCCGGCGCCCACGCGCTGGGCGAGGGCCAGTTCCCCTTCCCCACGGCCCGGGAGACGCCCGCCCCGCCCGGCGCCGCGGCTGCCGCGGGCGACGCCCCCGCCGAGGACATGCTGGTGGCCATCCGGCGCGGCGTGCGGCTCCGCAGGACCGTCACCAACGACCGGTCGGCGCCGCGGCTCTTGTGATGGCGCCGCCGCCCCCCCCCCCCCCCCCCCTCCGCCCGGCCAGGAGGGCAGAGCCGGGCGAGCGTCTTTTTCCTCTCAAGTCACCAGGCAGAGCCGCCTGGTGGAGGACTCACCACGGACACGGAAAGAGACTCCTTACAGACCTCTCACGGCGGCCGATTGGGAGCCTGTTTTATACTCTCCTTGCCCACTCTGTCCTCCTCTTCCTCCTCCTCCTCCTCTTCCCCCCCCCCCCCCAAGCCCCGCTTCCCCATCTCAGCGGCTCCCCTGCCTGCGGCCTGGGCGGGGCTGGCAGGGCCACAGCCTAGCTCACCGGCCGGCTGTGCCCCAGGGCCTTTCGGAACTGAGCCCTCCTCCTCCGCCCCCTCCCTGCCTCCATGAGGGAGGCTGCAGGGCCGGGCGCCCGGCCGGCTAAGGTAGCAGGTGTGACCGGAAAGGTGAGCAGAGTGGCCGGTGGTCTCGGGGGCAAGTGAGGTTGGGAGGCCAGCCCGCCATGGGGGCCGGGGGCCAAGGGCCTAGCCTCCGGGAGGAAATGCAGGGAGCCCACCCGGAGGGGCTGGGTGAGAGGGGGGGGGGGGGGGGGGGGGCCAGGGAAGCGAGTCGGAGGCTCTGGGCGAGGGGCCAGCCCCCGTCCTCGATGGGGCGCGTCAGGCCTCCCCGGGGTGGCGCTCGGCTCCCCGCTGCAGCCACCTTTGGGGGCGGGGGGCGGTTTTTGGAGTCTGATAAAGCGGAGCTGCCTGGACGAGGACTGTGTGTGGGGACAGGGTGGACGATACAGGGTGTGTCCGAGAGTGCCTGAGGGACAGGGCCCCACCGCGGTCTGGGGGGCCCGTGGCAGGAGGAGGAGGACCCATCGGCTCCCCCGAAGCCCAGTGACGGACGGGCGGCTGTTCTCTGCGGCCCGGAGCCGAAGCGAGGGCGTCCGGCCAGGCCGGGCTGAGGGGAGTCCGGGGACATGGCTTTGACTCTCTGTTGCCAGAGGAGACGCCAACCCAGGATGCGCCCCTCACCCTTCGTGCACCACGTCGTGCCAACGCTAAGGTAAAAGGAGGCGCACCTCCAGAGGAGGGGCCTTCTGGGTAGGTCAGCTTTACCTGGTCTGGACAGACGGACGGACGGACAGATGGGGCTGGTGGGAGTCTCCCGGCTGGAGGTCTTGATGGTTCTTGTGCTGGGGTCCAGGAGGGGCAGGGGGACCGAGGGCGCCTCCGAGCGGAGGGAGCCCCGGCCCCGGGGACGATGGAGAAGGTGCCTGTAAGTCGCTAGGTCAGCACAAGCTTGCTGAGCGCCCGGGGCGAGGGGGGCCTGAGGACCGGAGGGTGGGTGGCCAGTCTGGGCAGCGGCCCCGGAGCGGGTTACACCGCCCCTCCCGCAGTGCCAGGCTCGGCCTGGGAGGAGGATGCAGGATGTGCGATGGGAGCAGGGTGCGGAGCATTGTGGGGGGCGGCTGGGTCCTTGCCCCCCAGAGGAAGGACTTGCCTTCTGGGGAGGGGGGTGGCTGTGGCTTTGGAGGTTCAGGGAGGGTGTGCCCCCCACCTTGCTCGTCTCCCTCCCTTCCCAGCCACCCCGGGGGCTGTACACTGTACATAACTCCTCTCGTCCACGTAGCAGCCGCCCCCCGGGATCTGAGCCAGCCATCCCGCGTCAGACTCCGGTTGGGGACTTTTACGTCTTGTTTTTATTTTCCATTTTGTACAGAGGCATTCTTTTTCCAAGTCTTTGGACTGAAGTAACTTTTCTGGTGCTGTTGTTAACTTGTTCCTTCTTTTAATTTATTTCCCTACCCCCGGGCCTCCTCCGTCCCTCCCGCCTCCCACTCGGCCTCTCTCCCCTTCTCCGCCTCATCCCACCCGGACCATTTCCTTTCTTTCCTGTGGGTTTTGGTTTCGAATAAATTGTCCTCTCCACCCCGTCGCCCTCCTCCGGCCACCCTGCCCCCGATCTAATAGTCACGGCTACAGTAACGATGCACTGTGAAGACCCAGTATTAATAAAGTTGTACTGTAATGAGCACCTGCCTCTCTCTCGCCCGGCCTCCTCCTGCCTCCCCGCTGCTCCCCTGGATCCCGGGCCTTCCTACCTGGGTCCCGGGCCCAGGGCTGTGCCGGGACCTACACCTGCAGGATTCCGCTCCGTCCCTGCCGGGGGCCTTCCGGGCAGCCAGGGGGCGGAGGCCTAAGGCACTGCGGGGTCAGAGGTCAGCCCCCTGGGACGGGCTAAGAGGAAGTCAGGCCCTCAAATGCCCACCCTTCTAGCCCCCAGCCAGGCTCTGGGAGAGGGCCCCCCAGGCCCCGGCCCCCCAGCCCTTCCAGCCCCCCGTGGGCTGGAGCAGGAGGGGAGGGTGGAGAAGGGACTCGCAGGTTCACCCTCCCTGATGCAAAGCAAAACAAAAACAAAATAAAGTGGGTGTTTAATAGAAAAAAAAAAAAAGAAAATGAACGGGCAGAGAACCCACTGTGGCAAGATACGGCGTTTGGCCCTGGCCCTGCCCTCTCCCGGCCTGGCTGAGGCCTGCGTCCTCCACGCCCACCTGCCCACCGGGCTGGGCTCCTGGGCGGCGCCAGGAGGGGCCGTGAGCTGTCCGGTTCACCTCTAGGTGACCCCAGGCCCCCCCACTCCCCGAGAGGCCCTGGGAGGCACTGAGGGTAGGACCCCGCCGCCTCACAGGGTCCCCCCAAAGGAAAAAGGCCCTCCCTGGGGCTCTCCCACGGGGGGCGCCCCCCACCACCCAGCGACACCTCCGGCCCCGTCCGAGGAGCACCTCACCGGGCACCGGGCACCGGCAGGAGGCCTCTGCCCTCGGGGGCCGCAGTGAGCCTGTGGCCGTGGAGCCGAGGGCCAGGGTGGGCCCGGGAGCGGGGCTGCGGGCCGGAGCGCTCGCCTAGGCGGCCACACACTGCGCCAGGCGCTCTGGGCTGCGGGGCTGCGGGCCGGAGCGCTCGCCTAGGCGGCCACACACTGCGCCAGGCGCTCTGGGCTGCGGGGCTGCGGGCCGGAGCGCTCGCCTAGGCGGCCACACACTGCGCCAGGCGCTCTGGGCTGCGGGGCTGCGGGCCGGGCACTTTGCAGTCCCGCCAGTTTAGGATGGATGTTTCTTTACCTGCAGGGGGGGAGGGGGGAAACAAAACAAACCATAGGAGTGGTCAGCACTCACCTTGTCCCCAGTCCGAGCCCTATTTTTTAAATTTCTTTATTGATTACGGCATCACCTATTTGTCCTCAATCCCCCACCTCACCCCTCATGCCTTCCCCCCCTATTGTCCTTGACCACTGGTTAGGCTCATGTGTGTGCACATAAGTCCTTTGGTTGATCTCTCCCTTTCATCCCCACCCTCCCTCTGAGGTCCAACAGTCTGGCCCACGGCTCCTCATCTCTGGGTCTGTGCTTGTTCATCAGTCTGTGCTGTTCACCATTTCCCCTAGATGGGTGAGATCATGTCCTACTGGAAATATACTTATAGGAATCGAAAATGAGACAAGCAATCATGGTTCTGCTGAAAGGCAAATGAATCAGTCTGTAGTGAGCTGCTTTCTGGGCCAACAGTTCTTTGGAGACCCAATTTCAATGTCAGACAGTTCCTTGTGTGTGCCTGTCAGCCATGATATTTCAGTTCTGGATGGCGGGCAAGTGGTGGTACAGTCCGAGCCCTATTGATCCTGTTCCCGCACCCGGAGCCCATCTCAGCTTCCAGAAATGGCCTGTCACCCTGCGGAGCCCAGGGCACCCTCAGGAGGGTGCCAACTCCGCCCCCCCGCCCGGCCCGGCCCCCACCCACCCCCACCCCCACCCCCACCCCGGCTCCTTACAGCAGGCGCAGTACAGCAGCTCCATGACCCGGAAGCAGTTATCCAGCAGGGCTTTGGGCCGCACCAGCTTCCCGCTCAGCCTCCCGGCACTCAGGAGAGACAGTGCTTCCACCTGGGGGCTGGGCTTCACGACCTGGGGGGAGGGGGGGCCCCACACGGTGAGGCCCCGGCTGGAGGAGCGGCCACAGGCCAGCCCTGTTGTGGGGCTGCCACGGCTGGAGCCAAACCCAGCAGACAGACAAGCCTCCCCGTGACCAGGAGGCCCGGGAGCCGTTTCCCTCCCTCTTCCTCCAGCTGCCGCCCTTCCTGGGGAGGGGGTACCCCTCCACGTCCCCCACCCCAAGACAACACAGAGGCCTCTCTCCTCCCATCTCTGGAAAAATGACTACCCTGCCCAGAGGCACCAAACAGCCACCAAAGAAGTCCCTGGGGCCCTAGCCGGTTTGGCTCAGTGGACAGAGCATCAGCCTGTGGACTGAAGGGTCCCGGGTTTGATTCCGGTCAAGGGCAGGTTACCTTGGTTGCCCAGCCCTGGTTAGGGGCAGCAGGAGGCAGCCAATCGATGTCTCTCTCTCTCTCTCTCTCTCTCTCTCACACACACACACACACACATCAGTGTTTCTCTCTGTCTCTCCCTCTCCCTCCCATTCTCTCTAAAAACCAATGGAGCCCTAACCAGTTTGGCTCAGTGGGTAGAGCGTCAGCCTGTGGACTGAAAGGTCCTAGGTTCGATTCCAGTCAAGGGCATGTACCTTGGTTGCGGGCACATCCCCAGTAGGGGGCATGCAGGAGGCAGCTGATCGATGTTCCTCTCGTTGATGTTTCTAATCTCTATCCCTCTCCCTTCCTCTCTGTAAAAAATCAATAAAATATATCTTAAAAAATTAATTAATTTAAAAAGAAAAAAAAACAATGGAAAAAGGCCACTGGGGCTCCTGGCCTTTGTCAGAATTTGGAGAGCTGTCCAGTCGGCCGCAAAAGCAGCTTCGGGCCCCTCAGCCGGTATGGTCAGAAGCTCACAGTGGCTGCTGGGGGTTCTGGCTGGGAGCAGTGGGGGTCCCAGGAGAGCGAGGCATGGGGGTGTGGCAGCATGGGGGTGTGGAGGGGTCCCACATGCCTGTGGGGGACACACTCACCCAGTCACCTTACTCGTCAGGCTCCTGTGGGGACATACCTACTCAGAGGCCTCAGACCACCCTGAGCGGCAGTTACTAGGAGCCACCCTATTATTATTGTTGTTAAGTGAAGCCCATAGTTTACAGTCAGGCTCATGCTCCGTGTTGCACATTCTATGGGCTTTAACACACAGATGCTAATGTCACCTGCTCACTATCATACAGAAGCCTTTCATCGCCCTAAACACCTCCCGTGCTCCGCCGACCCATCCCTCCTCCCTCCCCGCAAAGGGAGCTCATTCTTAGTTGCAGAAACAAAGCCACAGGGTTCAACGACTTAGCCAAGACCGCAGAGCTCAGCAGAGCCCGGAGCAGGGTCTTAGGCACCCCTGCCCCTCCCCAACCCAGTCCAGCCCAGCCTCTGGTCATCGCTGGCTGTCTCCTCCTCTTTCCCATTTCTCCCTCACCCATCAGGACATGCTGGGACTCCCCACGTGCTCACATCCTCCCTCAACAGCCCTTGGCCACCATGCATACACACACACGCATACACACACATGCAGGCACACACATGCATACACTCACACATGGAGGCACATGCAGGTACACATACACATGCATGCCCAGCATGCAGGCACACTCACACATACAGGCAGACAGATACGCACACATGCATGCAGGCCACACAACATGCATGCATGCAGATACACATGACACACATGCAGGCACAAAACACGTATACACACATACATGCATACACTCACACATGGAGGCACATGCAGGTACACATACACATGCATGCCCAGCATGCAGGCACACTCACACACACAGGCAGACAGACACGCACACATGCATGCAGGCCACACAACATGCATGCATGCAGATACACATGACGGGCATGCAGGCACACAACACACATACACATACAACATGCATGCAGGTGCACACCATGCGGGCAGACATGCACACGTATGAATGCAGCAGCCAGGCACACGTACCCTGCCCGCCCGCGTCCTGGCCCCACTCACCCGGAGGACCTTCTCGACGTCCAGCAGCCGAGAGCGGACGTCCTTCAGGTAGCTCCAGGACGGGTGGCCCTCGAGCAGCACCTCCTGCACGGCCTTGGTGGCGCTGAGACTCACCCACACCCACAGGTAGCGCAGCTCCTGCTGGCTCACCCGGGCCCTCTGCTGTGGGGAGGGAGAGATCACTGAACCCCAGACACAGGCCTCCGCGCCCTTCCCACACCGCTGACACTGCCTCCGCTGACACCATCCTTCCCGCACCTCTGACACCGCTGACACCGCTGACACCGCCCTTCCCACACCACTGACACCATCCTTCCCGCACCTCTGACACCGCTGACACCGCCTCTGCTGACACCATCCTTCCCACACCGCTGACACCACTGACACTGCCCTTCCCACACCACTGACACCGCTGACACCACTGACACTGCCTCCGCTGACACCATCCTTCCCGCACCGCTGACACCACTGACACCGCCCTTCCCACACCACTGACACCGCTGACACCGCTGACACTGCCTCCGCTGACACCACCCTTCCCGCACCGCTGACACCACTGACACCGCCCTTCCCACACCACTGACACCGCTGACACCGCTGACACTGCCTCCGCTGACACCATCCTTCCCGCACCGCTGACACCACTGACACCGCCCTTCCCACACCACTGACACCGCTGACACCGCTGACACTGCCTCCGCTGACACCATCCTTCCCGCACCTCTGACACCGCTGACACTGCCTTTCCCACACCACTGTCACCGCTGACACTGCCTCCGCTGACACCGCCCTTCCCACACCGGACACCGCTGACACTGCCTCCGCTGACACCATCCTTCCCGCACCTCTGACACCGCTGACACTGCCTTTCCCACACCACTGTCACCGCTGACACTGCCTCCGCTGACACTGCCCTTCCCACACCGGACACCGCTGACACTGCCTCTGCTGACACCGTCCTTCCCGCACCTCTGACACCGCTGACACCGCTGACACCGCCCTTCCCACACCGGACACCGCTGACACCACTGACACTGCCTCCACTGACACCATCCTTCCCACACCACTGACACCGCTGACACTGCCTCCGCTGACACCGCTGACACCGCTGACACTGCCTCTGCTGACACCGCCCTTCCCGCACCTCTGACACCGCTGACACTGCCTCCACTGACACCATCCTTCCCACACCACTGACACCGCTGACACTGCCTCCGCTGACACCACCCTTCCCGCACCTCTGACACCACTGACACCGCTGACACTGCCTCCGCTGACACCGCTGACACCGCTGACACACCATCCTTCCCGCACCTCTGACACCGCTGACACCGCTGACACTGCAGCCTCTGACACCGCCCTTCCCGCACCGCTGACACCACTGACACTGCCTCCGCTGACACCGCCCTTCCCACACCGGACACCGCTGACACTGCCTCCAATTGCCTGAGTCCCGGGAGCCGACCACAGGAGTCCACTGTGGACTGTGGACAAGCCTGGGCCTGGGCCTAGGCCAAGGGCGAGCCTGCTTGAGGGGCCAAGAAAAGCCCCTGGCACAGGAGCTCCACACACACCAATGGCTCTCTCAGGAGAGGCCCGGACCCCGGAGACAGGGGCCGCCCAGCCCGGGGTGGGGGGTCCTCACCAGCCTCGTGACGTTGGCCGCTCTGAGCACCCCTTCGTAAGGCACGCTGAGCCGGTAGTCGATGGGGAAGTACAGTTTCTGGGGAGGTAAACAAAAGCTGTGAGGTCAGAGTCAGGGACGGCCAAGACAGTGCTCCCCAACTGCCCCGCCCGACTCTGCGGAGGGAGGCGCCCGGGAGCTGCCTGTGCCAGCAGGGGCGGCCTCGGGGAGAGGGCACCCAGCTCCGTCAGAGGGGACAGCGTCTCTCCTCTGGGGCCAAAGACACAGATGCTGTCAGGGCAGACGATTCGGCCCAGAAACAGGAGGAGGGACACCCACCCCGAGAGAAGCAGAGTCCTTGGGGGAGGGGAAGACTGAAGGGCACTCAAAAGTGTGTGGTGCCCTGACCAGTTTGGCTCAGTGGATAGAGCGTCGGCCTGCAGACTGAAGGGTCCCAGGTTCGGTTCCGGTCAAGGGCATGTACCTTGGTTGCGGGCACATCCCCAGTAGGGGGTGTGCAGGAGGCAGCTGATCCATATTTCTCCCACATCAATGTTTCTAACACTCTATCCCTCTCCCTTCCTCTCTGTAGAAAAATCAATAAATAAGTTGGGTTTTTTTTAAAGTGCGGTGACGGCTGCCCAGCTGTGCAAGTGCTAAACCCACGTGTGTGTGTGTGCGTGCGTGCGTGTGTGTGTGTGCGCGCGCGCGCGTGCGCGCGCGCACACATGTATGTGAGCGAATGGTGTGCTGTGCGAACCATCTCTCAATAAAGCCGTTTAAAAAGGAAACATGAGCCGAGACCAGTTTGGCTCAGTAGATAGAGCATCAGCCTGCGGACTGAGGGGTCCCAGGTTCAATTCCGGTCAAGGGCATGTACCTTGGTTGCGGGCACATCCCCAGTAGGGGGTGTGCAAGAGGCAGCTGATCGATGATTCTCTCTCATCGATGTTTCTAACTCTCTATCCCTCTCTCTCTTCTTCTCTGTAAAAAAATCAATAAAATATAAAGAAAGAAGAGTTCTCTCTCATTGATGTTTCTATATCTCTCTTCCTCTCTGAAATCAATTTTTTAAAAAAACATTAAAAATAAATAAAATAAAATAAAAGGAAAGGAAACATGCCACATGGGCTTCCCACCCGTAAACAGAGCCTGTTCCGGTGTCTACGTCCTCATCTCCCTGCTAATAGCAAGAAGTGTCTGCGGCTCCCCCAGTTTCCTGGGGTCCAGTCCTGAACCACAGGGTGTGTGAGTGCCACATGGAGGTGGGACCGAACGTCAGGCCCAGTGGGAGGGGAGGCCCCAGGAACGGCCAGCAGGAGGGAGGGGGACGGTGTGTGCAGGCCAGGGGACGGGGACTGGAGGGGAGGGGGGAGGGAGAAAGGCAGAGAAAGGAGCCTGTAGGCTCAGGGCTGACACAGGTCCGAGGAGGGACCCTGAAGGTCCAGACCCCCCTACATCCCATCAGCCGGGGGGCGTGGGCCGGGGCCCGGCGGGGCCGTGGTTACCGTGTACTGAAGGCGGTTCTGGTACTGCAGCTTCTCCCGCAGGATGCCCGTGAGGACGCACTCCTCCGAACCCTGGTCCCCCAGGGCCATGCCCAGGAGGATGCCGAGATCTGTGGAGCATGCCAACAGGAACACGTGAGCAGCCTGCCCGCCTCCACCCCGCCAGCCCGCCCTCCGCCCGGACACAGTCCCCGTGGGAGAGGCGGGATGGGTGGGGGCTCCAGGCGCCAGGCCAGGCGGGCAGGGGCCATCCAGCCGGTCTGCTCCTGGCCAGGAGCCAGCCCCTGAGGCTAGTGCCATCCCCTCCCCACTCTGCCCCACCCACAGGTGGGCACCACGCCCGGCCGGGGCCCCCTCAGCACCTCCTGCAGGGCTGACGTGTTTCAGAGCCTGCTGCTGCATTTCCCACTGGGGACCCAGGAGGCGTCGGCTCCAGTTCCAACCCTAGAAGTGACTCTCGGTGGCGGCAACCATCGTTCTCCTGCCTGCCTGACTGCGGCGCCCCCTCAGGCAGATGCACCGGTGGGTTTGGGGGGGCCTGCCTGGTTTGCTCACTCTGGGATGCTAAGCAAACCACGCTCAGCTGGTGTCTCACTCTCCCTCCCAGCATATGAGCGGCAGCTTCTGAATGTTACAAGCCTTTGCCACTGGGGATCGCTGTGACTTCAAACATAGCCTGTGTGATTTCCCATAACTGAGCTGACTTACCATAAATCTCTAGGAGGATTTACATACACACACACACACACACACAACAGCTACATCAATCAGAGCAGAAAGAACAAAATATCAACAGACAAGAGACATATCCAAAAAAATCAACCTCACTAATAAAGATAAGGACATGCAGGTCCTAGGCAGTTTGGCTCAGTGGATAGAGCATCGGCCTGTGGACTGGAGGGTCCCAGGTTTGATTCTGGTCAAGGGCACATGGCTGAGTTGCAGGCTTGATCCCCAATGTGTGTGTGTGGGGGGGGGGGGGGAGCATGCAGGGGGCAGCCAATCAATGATTCTCTTTCCTCACTGATGTTTCAGTCTTCCTCTCTGAAATCAATAAAATATATATATATATTTTTTTTTTTTAAAGGTAAGGACATTCACATTAAAATAATCCCATTTCACCTATCAAAATGGAAAAGGGTTGTGTTTAACTTCATTTTAATAGCAGTCGGTGCTGGCAAAAGTAGCGAGGCAAGTGTTCTCATCCTGGAAAGCAATGTGGCAATTTCTGTCACTAATTTTTGGAATTAATAATGTCCGCACCCTTTGACACCTTCATTTCTAGGAAGAAAGCCAAAGGAAAACAGGAGAGAGCTGTCAACTAAAAGATTTACGGACAAAGACGCCCATCGCAGCGCTATTTCATAATAGTGACCTAAATGTTTAATAGCACTTAATGCAGCCAATAAAAGTCACATTGTGAAGCAATGCCTTCTGACAAGTGTATGTGATAAGAAAAGTGCTTCAGGACATGCTTGGGGAAGTTTTTTCTTTAAAAGCATGACTCAGTACTCCGAGGTTATAATTCAAGTGCGACCTGAATTCTGTTAATTACACGTGTGCCTGCAAAGCCAAGTGTGGTGGAAAGAACTGTCCCAGATTACATTCTTTATGCTTTATGGGATTTTTCTATTTTCTATTCTACAGTCAATAGCTGTGATTGTTATAAACCAGTGGCCGGCAAACTCATGAGTCCACAGAGCCAAATATCAACGGGACAACAGATTTGAAATTTCTTTTGAGAGCCAATTTTTTTTAAACTTAAACTTCTTCTAACGCCACTTCTTCAACATAGACTCGCCCGGGCCTTGGTATTTTGTGGACGAGCCACCATACTCAAGGGGCCAAAGAGCCGCATGTGGTTCGCGAGCCACAGTTTGCCGACCGCGGTTATAGACAAAAACAATCTTTTCTCTCTTTTTCTCCCCGCCCCCTCCCAAAACCAGCCAGGCAGGCTGAGTCCTCCCCTGGACCCACCCTGGTTATGAGCAGGCAGTGCTGACGGACACTCCCCATCACTTCCTGGTCCTTAGGAAGGATTGTCCTTGACCCTACTGGCCTGGGCCTGCTCACCATCACCGCCCTGCATCCTTCTCGCCCTGCTGCCCGGCCTTGGCTCCTGCCGGGCCCCCCACCAGGAGCGCCCTCAGGTCCACTCAAGCCTGTGCCCCACCAGCCCACCAGCCCACCAGCCCTTCCTCTCACACAACTCTGACCACCACGTTTTTCACAAGGCTGCACATTTGCAACCCATCCCACACTCCCTCGCGCTCTCTCTCTCTCTCTCTCTCTTCCCAGGTGCTCAAACCAGTTATTTGGACAAAGGAACCGGTCGGCACAAACGGAACCAGCTTGCTTCGGATCTTGTCTCTAAGCCACTGACCTTCTCAGCTTGGCATCCCCACAGGTCAAGGTCATTCCTGCCTCAGGTTTTGCTCCCACGTTGTCACTGCCCTGGGTGTCCTCTCACACCGGGACCGCTGGTCTGCCCTGCCCAGGGCCCACCCTGCCTCGCCAGCCCCACCTCTAGCGCCATCCGTCCATTCACTTACGGGCTTCACCAGACCATTTAGCCCGAGTGTGTATACACACATGGTTCGGCAGCCACACCCCGGCTGGTGTGGGGCTTCCCTGGAGCAGGGGGAGGGGAGCAGGCATCTGCACCTCGGGGAGGGCGGGCAGGGCCCCCCGAGGGGCTGACTCAGCAGGTGGGGGGGGAGCAGACCTGGCATTTCCCACAGCGCCCGGGGGTCCATGCTCAGAACTGCTGGCCTCGGCGGACAGTTGCAAACTGGTGTCCTGAGGGCCACGGCCGGTTCACAGAGATGTCACCCAAAAACCCGAACTCCCGTCTTTTCTTTTAAAGTCAGTCTTCTCCGGTTTGGCTCAATGGATAGAGCGTCGGCTTGGGGACTGAAGGGCCTCGGGTTCGATTCCGGTCAAGGGCATGTACCTTGGTTGCGGGCATATCCCCAGTAGGGGGTGTGCAAGAGGCAGCTGATCGATGACTCTCTCATCGATGTTTCTAACTATCTCTCTCCCTTCCTCTCTGTACAAAAATCAATAAAATATATATTTTTTTAAAAGAAAAAATATTAAAAATAAAATAAATAAATAAAAATGAAGTCGGTCTTCTTCCCCAGGTGGCAGTCACCATGCGCTGATCTCGCCACCCCCCGTCCTGCCCCGGCTGCCCCCGTCCACAGGGCCTCTACCCCCCTCTCCCCAGGCGGCCTTTCTCCACGTCGGCTGTCCATTTCCAATGTTAAGCTTCTTTCCTGCTGCCTCCACCCCGAGAAACAGGCCAGCAAACAGGTGCCCAGGCAGGGAGAGCAGGTGGTCACCCTGCAACCCGGGAGCCCCACAGCTGGGCAAACCTGACCCCGGCTGAGAGACCTCCTTGCCCGCCCCCTCCAGAGGGCCCAGCCCAGGCCGGAAAGACAGAGAGGAGGGCAGCCTGAGGAAGGGCTCCCTCCCTGCCACCCCTTGCCATTGTTCCTGGGATTGGTGCCTAAATAGGGTTCGTCCACCACCCTGTAGACAGCACCCCCAAAATATTCTCATTTACCCAGAGCCTCAGATGCAACCTTATTGGGAAACAGGACCTGCAGATGTGAGGAAGGCCCACCCTAGAGGCACTGATGGCACTGCTGTAAGAGGAAGAGGAGGAGGAGGAGGAGGAGGAAGAGGAGGAGGAGGAGGAGGGGACTCAGAGGGAAAGACCATGTGAAGGCCGGGGTTGCACAGCCGCGGAACCCCGGGAGCCACCTGCGGTGGGAAGAGACAGGAAGGACCCTCCCCGGAGCCTGTGGCAGGAGAGCAGCCCGGCCACACCTGGATTTCAGATTTCCGGCCTCTGGCGCGGAGACAGAACGAATTTCTGCTGTTTTAAGCCAAGTCTGTGGCGACCCAGCCCCTCTGCAGGCCCACAGTCTGCACCCCAACCCTCTCACTCCACACCCCGTGTCCTGCCGTCTGCCTGCCCCAGCTCTGCCCCCCCCCCCCCCGTGCCACGCCTCCATCCTCACGCCCATCCCCGGAGCTGGTCCTCGGCACTTCCTGTCCAGAGGCGGCAACAGCAGCTCCTGCAGGGACCGCCAGGAGAGCCTTCCAAAAGCAGCAGATCGTAGTCAGGGCCCCACCCTCAGGTCGGACCGGGAACCTCCCAGCAGCCCCGGCTGCCTCACCAACCAGCTCTCCATGCCGCCGCCTGCTGCCTGCTGAGCCCCTGCCCCTGCCCCCTCCAGACCTGCCCCTGGCATCTCAGCTGTGCTGCCCCGCCTGCTCCTCCCGGCCTGGAAGCCTCCGGAACACGGGGTCCCCGTCCCCCCACTGTCCCAAGAGCTCCGACCCTTCGCAAGATCCCACCACAAGGGCCGGACTGGACCCCCTCCGCCGCCAGTTCCTCGAAGGCCAAGTCCCGACCTCGTCCGTCCAGCCCAGGCTCCTGGCCTCACCGAGCCGCCCGGGTCCCGGCGCCCGGCGCCCGGCGCTGCCCCCCGGTGGGCACGGGGAGGCGCAGACACACGCGCTCTGACCCGCTCCCACGGCCTCTCCCTCTGAGGGGCCCTGGCCTGGCTCCCGCCAGCGGCTCCAGAGGCTTCCGGGCCCTTCTGTCCGGCCTGGTTTCAACTTGTTTTTCTTTTCCCCAACACGCTGCTCTCCCTCCGCCTTTTCATCTGCTCTCCGCGGAGGAACAAGCGCCTGCTGAGGCACCGGCTGGCTTCTCCCACGTCTGGGGGGCCAGACACCGACACAGCCCCCACCTCCTGGCGCCACACCCAGGCGGCTAGGAAGCCTCTCTGCCACCGCGGTCCCCGCGTACTGCTGGCACCCAGCATGCCTGCACCGACCCCCATGCCTGCCCGACCCCCATGCCTGCCCGACCCCCATGCCTGCCCCAACCCCCTATGCCTGCTCAATCCCCCATGCCTGCCCAACACCCATGCCTACCCCGACCCCCCACGCCTGCCCTGATCCCCCATGCCTGCTCAATCCCCCATGCCTACCCCAACCTCCCATGCCTGCCCGACCCCCATGCCTGCCCGACCCCCCATGCCTGCCCGACCCCCATGCCTGCCCGACCCCCATGCCTGCCCCAACCCCCCATGCCTGCCCCCACCCCCCATGCCTGCCCGACCCCCCATGCCTGCCCCGACCCCCCATGCCTGCTCAATCCCCCATGCCTGCCCGACCCCCCATGCCTGCACCGACCCCCCATGCCTGCCCCAACCCCCTATGCCTGCTCAATCCCCCATGCCTGCACCGACCCCCATGCCTGCTCAATCCCCCATGCCTGCCCGACCCCCCATGCCTGCACCGACCCCCCATGCCTGCCCCAACCCCCTATGCCTGCTCAATCCCCCATGCCTGCCCGACCCCCCATGCCTGCCCCAACCCCCTATGCCTGCTCAATCCCCCATGCCTGCCCGACCCCCCATGCCTGCACCGACCCCCCATGCCTGCCCCAACCCCCTATGCCTGCTCAATCCCCCATGCCTGCACCGACCCCCATGCCTGCTCAATCCCCCATGCCTGCCCGACCCCCATGCCTGCCCGACCCCCATGCCTGCCCCAACCCCCTATGCCTGCTCAATCCCCCATGCCTGCCCGACCCCCATGCCTGCCCCAACCCCCTATGCCTGCTCAATCCCCCATGCCTGCCCGACCCCCATGCCTGCCCCAACCCCCCATGCCTACCCCGACCCCCATGCCTGCTCAATCCCCCATGCCTGCCCGACCCCCATGCCTGCTCAATCCCCCATGCCTGCCCGACCCCCATGCCTGCCCGACCCCCATGCCTGCCCCAACCCCCTATGCCTGCTCAATCCCCCATGCCTGCCCGACCCCCATGCCTGCCCCAACCCCCTATGCCTGCTCAATCCCCCATGCCTGCCTGACCCCCATGCCTACCCCGACCCCCCACGCCTGCCCTGATCCCCCATGCCTGCTCAATCCCCCATGCCTACCCCAACCTCCCATGCCTGCCCGACCCCCATGCCTGCCCGACCCCCCCATGCCTGCCCGACCCCCATGCCTGCCCGACCCCCATGCCTGCCCCAACCCCCCATGCCTGCCCCGACCCCCCATGCCTGCCCGACCCCCCATGCCTGCCCCAACCCCCCATGCCTGCTCAATCCCCCATGCCTGCCCGACCCCCCATGCCTGCACCGACCCCCCATGCCTGCCCCAACCCCCTATGCCTGCTCAATCCCCCATGCCTGCACCGACCCCCATGCCTGCTCAATCCCCCATGCCTGCCTGACCCCCCATGCCTGCACCGACCCCCCATGCCTGCCCCAACCCCCTATGCCTGCTCAATCCCCCATGCCTGCCCGACCCCCCATGCCTGCCCCAACCCCCTATGCCTGCTCAATCCCCCATGCCTGCCCGACCCCCCATGCCTGCACCGACCCCCCATGCCTGCCCCAACCCCCTATGCCTGCTCAATCCCCCATGCCTGCACCGACCCCCATGCCTGCTCAATCCCCCATGCCTGCCCGACCCCCATGCCTGCCCGACCCCCATGCCTGCCCCAACCCCCTATGCCTGCTCAATCCCCCATGCCTGCCCGACCCCCATGCCTGCCCCAACCCCCATGCCTGCCCTGACCCCCCATGCCTGCCCGACCCCCATGCCTGCCCCAACCCCCTATGCTTGCTCAATCCCCCATGCCTGCTCCAATCCCCCATGCCTACCCCAACCTCACATGCCTGCCTGACCCCCATGCCTGCCCTGACCCCCCATGCCTGCCCTGACCCCCCATGCCTGCCCCAACCTCCTATGCCTGCCCTGACCCCCCATGCCTGCCCTGACCCCCCATGCCTGCTCCAATCCCCCACGCCTGCCCTGACCCCCCACACCTGCCCTGACCCCCATGCCTGCCCTGACCCCCCATGCCTGCTCAATCCCCCATGCCTGCCCCAACTCCCCATGCCTACCCCAACCCCCCACACCTCCCTCACACCTGCCCTGACTCCCCACGCCTGCCCCGACCCCCCATGCCTGCCCCACGGCCACACTGCCTGCACCCACCAGCCATGACTGACACCCGCCATGCCCGGAGCTGGGGCGGCTGGAGATGGGAGGAGGGCAGGCCAGGGACCCCGAGGGCACCTGCACGAGGCTGGGAAGCATCTCAACTTCTCACCAGCAAGAAAGGCCCAGTTGCCATGGTTACGGCAGAGCCTGGCTCTGGGCCAGGAACTCCCTGGGGCGGTGTTCTCCCCACCCCCACCCCCACCCCACCCCCCCCCCCGCATCCCCCCACCCCGCCCCGAACCCCAGTACTCACAGTGGAGGCAGGCGAAGGCCCGGGGCATGGTGCTGCGCAGGGTCCCCCAGACGGCAGAGGCGGAGTCCCCGGAGGCGCCTGTGTCCCCAGAGGCCCGAGGGGGCCTACATGGCATCAGGTGAGCGCGGTGCCCCGTGTGGGAGAGGCTGGCCAGGGAAGACGGCCTGGCAGGTGGCCGGGGGCAGCGCCACCCTTATCTGCCCGGCCCGGTGGCAGGCAGCCGGGGGGCGGCGGGCGCCATGGCCGCGGGGGCCGGGCCCAGCGCGGCCTCGGGGTCTCCCTCGGAGCAGGCGTCCCCCGGCCCCTCGGAATCCGGGATCCGGGCCGGCTGTGCTTTCTCCGTTCCTCCTCTGCAGCTGCTCAGTGTGAGAGCTGGCTCTGGAGAGAGAAGGAGGAGAGAAACAATTATGTAAGAGCCGCCTGCCACTCAGCCATCAGCCCCGGCACGCGGGCCTGGCCCTGGTGGGTGCTGCACCCACTGCGCAGAGGGCCCATCGGGGTCAGGCCAGGCGCCCGGCCCTGCTCGCCCTGGCAGCCGCCTCCTCGGCGACCAGCTCGCACACACGGGGTGACTTCAGACACCCAATGGGCAGCACAGGCCGGCACAAGCCAGATGACATCGGCCACAGCCTGAGCAACATCAGGACCCAGGCTGCCAGGTACCCAGTCAGCACCTTCCCCCGGGCACCCGCAGTCAGCACCTTCCCCCGGGCACCCAGTCAGCACCTTCCCCGGGCACCCAGTCAGCACCTTCACCGGGCACCCACAGTCAGCACCTTCCCCCGGGCGCCTAGTCAGCACCTTCCCCCGGGCACCCAGTCAGCACCTTCCCCCGGGCACCCACAGTCAGCACCTTCCCCCGGGCACCCAGTCAGCACCTTCCTCCAGGCACCCAGTCAGCACCTTTCCCCGGGCACCCAGTCAGCACCTTTCCCCGGGCACCCAGTCAGCACCTTTCCCCGGGCACCCAGTCAGCACCTTCCCCGGGCACCCAGTCAGCACCTTCACCGGGCACCCGCAGTCAGCACCTTCCCCCGGGCACCCAGTCAGTACCTTTCCCCGGCTGCCAGGTGCCTTGTGCATTGGGTGCAGCCAGGGAACCGCGTGTATCACGGTTTGCTCCCTTCCTGGCTGAGTACCCCATTGTACGGCCAAACCGCCGTCTGTCCGCCCACCAGTGGAGGGCATCTGGGTGTTTTTGAATTTTTGATAATTAGGGATGAAACCCCCACAGGCTCTGCACACAGGTTTGGGTGCGGCTGGAAGTGTCCACTTCGCTCGGGGGATCTGTAACCTGAACGTGCTCCTCAGTCCTGAGCATCGGGGCTCTGCATGCTCCCGCGGGGGCTGGCCGCAGGGTGCTGGCCGCGGGGAGCTGACCGCAGGGTGCTGGCCGCGGGGTGCTGACTGCGAGTGCTGACTGACCACGGGTGCTGACTGACCGCGGGTGCTGACCGTGGGGTGCTGCCCGCAGGGTGCTGCCCGCAGGGTGCTGGCCACGGGGAGCTGATCGCAGGGAGCTGACTGCGGGTGCTGGCCGCGGAGCTGACCGCAGGGTGCTGGCCACATGGTGCTGGCCGCGGGGTGCTGACCACGGGGTGCTGACCGCGGGGTGCTGACCGCGGGGTGCTGGCTGCGGGTGCTGGCCGCGGAGCTGACCGCAGGGTGCTGGCCACAGGGTGCTGGCCGCGGGGTGCTGACCGCGGGTGCTGACCACGGGGTGCTGACCACGGGGTGCTGACCGCGGGGTGCTGGCTGCGGGTGCTGGCCGCGGGGAGCTGACCGCAGGGAGCTGACTGCGGGTGCTGGCCGCGGAGCTGACTGCGGGTGCTGGCCGCGGAGCTGACCGCAGGGTGCTGGCCACAGGGTGCTGGCCGCGGGGTGCTGACCACGGGGTGCTGACCACGGGTGCTGACCACAGGGGTACTGACCACGGGGAGCTGACCACGGGTGCTGACCACGGGTGCTGACCACGGGTGCTGACCACGGGGTGCTGACCATGGGGTGCTGACCATGGGGAGCTGACCACAGGGGTGCTGACCGCAGGGAGCTGACCACGGGTGCTGACTGACCGCGGGTGCTGGCTGCGGGTGCTGGCCGCGGGGTGCTGACCATGGGGAGCTGACCACGGGTGCTGACCATGGGGTGCTGGCCACGGGTGCTGACCACGGGGTCCAGGCAGTGGTCCCCTGTCCTACTCTCCTCCACAGCTGGAGCATCCCTCAGCCCACACCTCCCCAACCACACGCACACGCCAAGCTCTGTGCCCCGCCCACACCCCACAGCTCCCCTGGCAGCTCCTCCCTCAAAAACCTCCCAGAAGGCCCCATGGGGAGCCCCACCCGGGACCTCAAACCCTGGACCTCCAGGCCCCGATGGAGAAGCTGAGGAAGGGAAACACGGGGTCCTGGCCACCTCCCCGCCACGGCACAGAGTCCTGGGCTCCCTCTGGGGTGACACCCACCCTCTGCGCCCCCTGAAATGAGGGGTGCAGGGAGGGGGGGTAGGGAAGCCAAGGAGGACACACAGAGGGCGTTTGCCTAACGACAGGAGCTGGAACCAGAGCCGCCGACCCCAATGCATCCCTGGGGCCTAGCACGGCCACGGGGAAGCCGGTGCAGGGAAGAGCTGTGTCAGAACGTGAAGGTTGGACTATTGTGCTGCCCACGTCATTGGTGAATAGCCACGCACAGAAGCAAGTGAAAAGGAAGCATTCATTTAACAGAATCACAGGCGCTGGGAGGTCAGGGAGCAGTCCATAAGGAGGGAAGCGGGTGACTGGGGGCCGACTCTCCCGGTGGCAAGCCAGCAGGTGACGCCTCGAAGGAAGACGTGGCAACATGCGTGCGTTCATGCAGAAGGAGAAACAGACATATTGCTCTTTGGAAAAGTTGGAAGTCCTGTGTCTGGGGAGCAGGAAGTGGGGAGGAGGGAGCAGACAGGAGCCTGCTGTTGTCCAATTTGATTCTGTAGCTCAGGTGCAGTTATAAATTTGATTTAAAAATATAAAACTAGACTTAGGCCCTAGCCCAGGGGTCGGCAAACTCATGAGTCCACAGAGACAAATATCAACAGGACAACGATTTAAATTTCTTCGGAGAGCCACATTTTTTAAACTTCAACTTCTCCTAACGCCATTTCTTCAAATTAGACTCGCCCAGGCCGTGGTGTTTTGTGGAAGAGCCACACTCAAGGGGCCAAAGAGCCGCATGTGGCTCATGAGCCGCAGTTTGCTGACCACAGCCCTAGCCAGTTATGCTCAGTGGATAGAGCATCGGCCTGTGGACTCAGGGTATCCTGGGTTTGATTCCAATCAAGGGCACATGCCCAGGTTGCAGGCTCGATCCCCAATAGGGGGAGTGCAGGAGGCAGCCAATCAATGATTCTCTCTCATTGTTGATGTTTCTCTCTCTCTCTCTCCCTCTCCCTTCTTTTCTGAAATCAATAAAAATATGTTTTTAAAAAAACCAAAAATATAAAACTGGGCTTTTCAAAAAGGCATTTCGGCCGAAACCGGTTTGGCTCAGTGGTAGAGCGTGGGTCTGCGGACTGAAGGGTCCCGGGTTCGATTCCGGTCAAGGGCATATATTGTATGTTGGTTGCGGGCACATCCCCAGAGGGGGGGTGTGCAGGAGGCAGCTGGTCGGTGTTTCTCTCTCATCAACGTTTCTGACTCTCTATCTCTCTCCCTTCCTCTCTGTAAAAAATCAATAAAACATATTTAAAAAAAAAAAAAAAAAAGGCATTTTGGTGCAGCAACTACATTTCTTGTCCGTTGAGGTTAGGAAGCAAGGGCCTGCACCCCAGGGCCTCCCCTGTGCCCTCCTTTCCCAAGCCGCCTGCCTGAGAACCAGGAGCCCCCCCCTCCTGGCAGATCCCCCTCCGAAGTGCAGGAACCAGCAACCGGACTAGAGTCCAGCAGCTAACCCCAGAGCCAGCCCAGCCTGACCAGGAGACAGGGGTTTCTGTTCAGGACACACACGTACTCCACCAGCTGTGCAACAACCCCCAAACTACAATTGCTGAAACAACCATCGTTTCTTATTTTTCACGAATCTACAGATTGGCTGGGACTGGCCTACCTGGGCTGGGCTGGGCTGGGCTGATCTAGCCTGGGCTCACTCAGGCTGGTAGGCTGGCAGAGTGCTGGCTGGTCTCGGTGCCTGAGCTGGGATGACTCCCTTCCAGCAGGCTAACCAAGGTTTGCTCTAGTGACCGAGGCAAGATTCTAAGACGGAGCAAATGAGTAAATGGCCTGAAGGCGGAGGCACAGGACAATGGCAGTCACTTTTACCACATTCTACCCACCCAAGCAGATTGGCGGGGGAAGGGAGTGAGGGTACACAGAGTCCTCTTTCTCTTCCTTTCTCTTCCTTCCTTCCTTCCTCCCTCCCTCCCTCCCTCCCTCCCTCCCTCCCTTCCTTCCTTCCTTCCTTCCTTCCTTTTAGTCTTTCTTCCTTAATTGACTTCAGAGGAGAAGGGAGAGGGAGAAACATCAACGATGAGAGAATCATTGATTGGCTGCCTTTTGCACACCCCCAGTGGGGATCGAGTTCGCAACCTGGGCATGTGCCCTTGGCCGGAATCGAACCTGGGACCCTTCCGTCCGCAGGCCCATGCTCCATTCTTGACGAAAAGAGCTGCAGAACATCATTGCAAAAGGCCTGGACGGGGTGTGCCCGGGAAGAACTGGGGCCACTTTAGCAACCAGACTATTACACCCACACACAGAGCATCCGTCCTTCTCCCCAGCGTGGCCAGGCCTGACCGGAGGCCCCGGGGACACAGCACTGGACCCCCTGCTCCCGCCTGGCCACTTCCCTGCACGCAGGGCCGGGCCGCCGGGGCCTCTGGGACATGCCAAGCGGCCCCCACATCCTCGCGACGATGAGGAAACAGGGTCTGGCGGGGGAGGCAGCTGGCCGAGGACCACACGGCCAACTGCAGCCTCCTCCCGCGAACCGAGCCGCTCTGTCCTTTGAGGACGCGGGGAGGGACAGAGAGCAGCCACCAAGCGTGATTCACAGACATTCTCCTCGACAGGATGTGGACGGGAAGCAGAACTGAGTGTAGGCCACGGAGGGGGGGGGGGGGGGGGGGGAGACAGACAAAAGCAGGAACAGGGACGCGCATTATTCTGGCGAATTGCATCGGCCCAGGGCCCGTATTTCCGAGTAAAATTTCACCCGCCACCTCGGTCCTCTACGTGGAAAGAGGGCGCTGGGCCTGGGGCACCCGGATAACCCGGGACCCGCCCCCCGCCACATCTGTGGCGTCGGTCTCATCGGAGAAGCGCGCCGGGTCAGAATGCTCGCACCCTTGGCTCCCATTCAGCCCAAGTCCAAGCGGTAAGGGAGTCCCTGTGTCTCCATCCCTTGACCCTGCCTGGGCTTGGCCTTGGGACTGGTTCTCACCCAGGGATGTGCCTGTGCCTTGAGGCTCATCCTCTCTTCCTGCCTTGGCGTGCCTCCTGGAGGAGGCGCCGCCGAGGTCCCAAGCGTGGGAGGGAGGCCAGCTGGCCCCCGGCGAGCAGGCCCAGAATCCCAGCCCCGAGCAGAAGCACGGGAAACACTCAAGGTTTGCTTGCAACCACTAAGCTTGGGGGTAGTGTGTTAGGCGGCAAGTGCTAATCCCCACCGCATGCATGGAAACGCGTGCCCCCCCCCCCCCCCCCCCGTCTGCAAACAGCCCTGTCCGGAGCCAGATCGACTCTCACCCATAGCCTCCTCCAGGGACTCAGCTCCTCAGAAGGAAGCAGGGTCCAAGGTCAGGAGGTCTCCAGGGACAGAGGCGCTAGCGTTGCCCTAGGCCCAGCCAGAAGCTTCTCTTGGAAGAACCACTTTCTGGGACTGAGTACTACGCAATAAGATGCTCATTCTTCCTCTGCCTCACTCGAACTCTTTTATTAAACATTTTATCATAGAAATTGTAATGGTAGACTCATGCAGTGGCCCCCCATGAGACTATCACTCAGTTTCAAAAATTATCAGCCCTGGCCGGGTAGCTCAGTTGGTTAGAGCATCATCAGGATACACCAGGGCTGTGGGTTTGATCCTGGACAGGGCACATACAAGAAGCAATAAAAAAATGGAACAACAAAATGTCCCCCACACACACTCCTTCCTCCCTCCCTTCCTCTCTCCCTAAATCAATTTTTTTTTTTAAAAATCAATCCTCTGACATTTCTGTTTCACCCATCCCCCAATTTCTACCCTAGAATATTTTTTAAAAATATTTTTTTATTGATTTCAAAGTGGAAGGAGAGGGAGAGAGAGAAACATCAATGATGAGAGAATCATTGTTCAGCTGCCTCGTACACACCTCCTACTGGAGATCAAGCCTGAAACCCAGGCATATATGCCTTTGACTGGAATTGAACCCGGGACCCTTCAATCCACAGGCCAATGCTCTATCCACTGAGCCAAACCGGTGAGGGCTCCCTAGAGTATTTTAAAGCAACTTTTAGATGTTCCATTTTACCAATATGTAAGGATTTTTATTATCATTTTTTAATATATATTTTTGTTTCAGAGAGGAAGGGTCTGGGAGAAAGATATAGAAACATCAATGAAGAGAGAGAATCATTGATCGGCTGCCTCCTTCATGCCTCCTACTGGGGATCAATCCCACAACCCCGGGCATGTGCCCTGGACTGGAATCGAACCTGGGACCCTTTGGTCCACAGGCTGATGCTCTACCCACTGAGCCAAACCAACTAGGGCAGGATTTTTAAAAATATATATAATCACACTACTATTATTGCACATTCTCAAGTCAATACTTCCTTATGTCATCTAATACAGAATCCATGTTCAATTTTCCCTGATGGTTTGAGAAATGTCCTTTTTAAAGTTGCTCTGTTTGAATTGTGGACGAAAAAGGGGCCACATACTAAACCTGACATGCTCAGGGGAGGCCTGCACACGGGGTCCTCCAAACTCACAAACCGAGAGTAACCACATACAATGGGCTCAGCATAGAAGCTTCTAACTAGTCAGTGAAGCCGATGCAACGGGGGAAGATGGCGGCGGCCGTACCACAGCGGGCCTGGAGCAGCTGCCCAAAAAGGACATTATCAAGTTTCTACAGGACCACGGTTCAGATTCGTTTCTTGCAGAACGTAAGTTATTAGGAAACATTAAAAATGTGGCCAAGACAGCTAACAAGGACCATTTGGTTACAGCCTATAACCAGGTCTTACAATCTTTTTGAAAGTAAGCGTTTCAAGGGTACTGAAAGTATAAATAAAGTGTCTGAGCAGGTGAAAAATGTGAAGCTTAATGAAGATACACCCAAAGAAACCAAGACTGAAGAGACTCTGGATGAGGGTCCACCAAAATACACAAAATCTGTTCTTAAAAAAGGAGATGAAACCAACTTCCCCAAAAAGGGAGATGTTGTTCACTGCTGGTATACAGGAACACTACAGGATGGAACTGTTTTTGATACCAATATTCAAACGAGTTCAAAGAAGAAAAAAAATGCCAAGCCTTTAAGTTTTAAGGTTGGAATAGGCAAAGTTATCAGAGGATGGGATGAAGCACTCCTGACTATGAGTAAAGGAGAAAAGGCTCGACTAGAAATTGAACCAGAATGGGTTTATGGGAAGAAAGGACAGCCTGATGCCAAAATCTCACCAAATGCAAAACTCATTTTTGAAGTGGAGTTAGTGGATATTGATTGAAATAGCAATGCTTCTGATCTAAAGACAGCAATAGCCTTGAAGAAAGTTACATAACTCATTACAGCTGGTTACTATTGTAATGGAAATGAACTGGAAAATTCAAGGAGTTATGTTAGAACTTGTTTACTTTCTCCCCCAAATTAAGAAATGTAATGTTATAAATCCCTAAAGTTTAAAATATTTTACTACAGCTGTGTAAAATACTTCTTAAGAATTTTTCCTTTTACCTCATGTTGTAAACTAAAAGGCTCAATAAAAATGTACCCAATGTCTGTGCTCGCTTCGGCAGCACATATACTAAAATTGGAACGATACAGAGAAGATTAGCATGGCCCCTGCGCAAGGATGACAAAAAAAAAAAAAAAAAAAAAAAAAAAGCAGCTTCTAACTAGAAGCAGGTCGTGCGGGTAGTCACATCTGGGTAGGAAGCACCCTTGACAAAGGTCAACCTTTACCTCAGGAGAGCCTGTCCTTTGTCTTTTTGCAACTAAGATAACATCCTTTTGAAATGTCTGCGTAATCTCCTTCTCCAGACCTCAGACCCCTCAAGGTTATCTTGTTCCTCGCACTCCACCTCTACATGCCCGCACCCACCAGTTTTGCCTTTTTATTCAACCTCAGAGATTTCCCTGCTTTGCTTTCTCCTGCCCCCTTAATCTACCACCAACGGACTTCCTACTAACCCCTCCCCCTTGTGTCTCCTCCTTTTATTCAAATACATAAAATAAGCTGCAGCCCTAGCCAATCTGGCTCAGTGGGTAGAGTGTCTGATCATGGACTGAAGGGTCCCAGGTTCGACTCCCACAGAGGGCACATGCCTGGGTTGCGGGCTCGATCCCCAGTAGGGGGCGTGCAGGAGGCAGCTGATCAATGATTCTCTCTCATCATTGATGTTTCTATCTCTCCTTCTCCCTTTCTCTCTGAAATCAATAAAAATATATTTTTAAAAATAATAATAAAATAAAATAATAAGCTGTAAAAGTGCCATTCTCCAGTTTCCTCAATCCGTTGAGATTTTCCTTCCTGGCAATTGTCAGCTTGACTCAAATAAACCTAAAAAAAAATCTCTACCGGTTTGGACATGTCTTATGGTAACAGAATCGAGAGCCCCACAAGGTGGCCCACCTAGTACCCTTGATTGATGTCGTTTACATCTTTTTCCTTAAAAAAAAAAAAAATTAAGCTATAGTTCAATGCCATAAAATTCAACATTTCAGAGCATGCAACTTAGTGGGGTTTTTGCGTGTTATTTTAGTATATTCAGAAAGTTGTGCAACCATCACCATAATCTAATTCCAGAACAGTTTTAACACCCCAAAAATAAACCCTGCATTCATTAGCAGTCACTGTTTATTTCCTGTCCCCCAGTCCCTGGCAACCACTAACCTGCTCTGTGGATTTGCCTGTTCTGGGCATTTCACACAAATGCAGTCGTAGGATTTGTGATCCTTTATGACTTACTTCTTCCAGTTAGCATAATGTTTTCATTCATCTTATAGCGCATTGTAAACCGAATTCACAGGTTAAGCCCCTAACTCCCCATG